AACAAGTATTGGAAAAAGATGTAAAGAATTTGGTCTCCAAACAGATATTTGCTGGTTGCCAAGCTGATTTATCTGCTTTTGATTTTTCTATTGAATATATTAAAGGCAGTTCTAATTCTTTACCTGATTTTCTAACTCGTGAATTTTTGCAGGGTTCATGAATCCGCCCCCCCCCCCCCCCCCCCCCATGGGCAGGGCCGGGGTAATACTCCAAAGGCTCGTGGCAAAAACAAGGCTAAGGCCAAAGTGGTTATACCACTCACTGATGATCAATTTCCATATTTGGAGCATGTTGCTGATCTGCTCAACACACCTTCTAAAGGAAGCAGCAGTACCCAGCAAAAACAACAGAAACCAACCATGAAAGAGGTTCTTGAACAAGAAACTCCATGGATACCTAATCAAAGGTATATTCAAACAGTATTGATACTGGATTCTCAGGATGAGCAATGGATGCCAGATCCTTGGGAAGTAAAATCCAGATATTTTCAAACTCAACAATATGCTGCACCGGATGGTCGCCATAGATATTTCTATGAAGCTATTCTTACTGAAACTTCCTCTGTGGAGATCAACCACACGAAGCAATTTCCGAATTCCAAAGATAGTCCTCTTACTTATAGTAAAGCTATCTTTAAGAGGCTTATACGGCCTAGTGACTGGGGATTAAATCCTAATTTGCCAAGGAAAATATCATATGGTCACAGTTACAATTATTGGGATTATATCTCAGCTTGGACATATTCTTTCTTTTATCAAAATCCGAAGCATAAGCATTCTTGGTTCTTCAAGTTATGCCCTCAATCAGTTAAGGCTGATTTCCCAAACTGGGTTATACCCTGGTGGGCTATATTTGGCCCTGATCTGGATATGTTGCCCGAATCAGTCAGACAATTATACTTGCCATGGCAACAATTTCATCATCAATTACGGGGACAGGATAATATTCCTGTAGGGAAATCCACCCTATTGTTCTTTACTGAATTTGGAATCCCTTGGATTTGGAAATGGGATTTCCAATGTGGTTATACCACTGACAAGTTACCAGTCCTTCAGAGGATCTTTTATTACCGATGGTGGTCAGGCATGACTCAAGATCCTATCCAAGCCCTCCTCCATCAGATCAGAAAGAAAACACTGAAATACATGGATAAGATTCCAAAGTTAACTATTCCAGAACCCGAAATCTTTAACCCATTTGAACTTGTTAAAGATATGATCAGAAAACAACAACCATTAATTACTGAAGCTGATTTAATGGTTAAATGCATGGATTTTATGAGGACCAAATTTGTTAAATCTTTTGATTCCTCCACACTCACAGTACGAGATGATGCATCCATGGTGTCAGTCTCTAGCCAGACCAGTCAAGAAGGTAATCAGTTTTCCTGTCTAGCTGGTTATGCACAAGATCCCAATGAAGATCTTATTTCGGAAGATGAGCCTACAGTAGCCGACTATTGGGACTCTCTCACCAGTCACTTGATGGACAAGATGAATCCACCTAAAAAGTAAAAGATTCCTCTTATCCTGCCGACAGAAGAAGCCAAAGAACTTTTCCCAAAAGTCTTTGGTTCTACAATATTTCCTTCATCAGATATCCACTTTTCATCCGATAAGGAGACAGAACTTAGTGGTGGGCCGACCGACTGCATTATTCCAGCACACGATCCCATGCACTATGCGGACTTCAAAATGATAATTTCAAGTCCATTTTATGTATAAATAGAGGACAAAGTTTCCCTTCAATGTATCTTTCATTTTCCTTTTATCTCTTTTGTAATATTTCTCTGTACTAGCTTGGAAGTTCAATAAAGAAGGTTTTCTATAAGTCTGTTTACATTATTTATAGTTCTTATTGTAATTAATTGTAATTATCGTAATTATTTTATTTATTTTAATAAAATATGAAGGTATTATAATAATTTCGCAACATAAATGAGAAGAATATATATATATATATATATTTGTTCCCAATCAAAAGATCCCGCCCAGATTTTGCACCCATACCCGTCCATTCCTAATGAAGTGGGAGGGAGAGTGTCATTATGCCATTCCTAATCACAAGGCTCCTGCATTGAATGTCTGAAACATAAGATATTAAATTTCAAATGAAATGATATGATCCAAGATATTTATGATCATTTGCAAATATCTAACTATTTTCAACTCAACTCCAACTACAAAATACTAATATTCATACCCCGCTTTAATAACACATTAACATTTGATCAACCAACTCAGAGTTGTTGTGGTATATATTGATATAATTAATAATAATAGGCAAGGTTTCTCTATATGCATTTATAAGAAAGTTGAATTAAGTTGCCTAAATATCAGTAGTTATAGTATTTTATTAATATCAACTGGTTTTATGTTTAATAGTATCTTTTTTTATCTTTTAAATAGTAAGTTTTTGGTGATTGTCCGTGTGCGCGCATGTAGAATGAGAATATGTTTCTAATGGCAGATTATAGGGTCTTCTAAGACGCTTGACATCCCAATGTTAACTTATAAAAGAAATTAAAAATAAATAAAAATTGAAGATCAAGGATTTAAATCCCTTTAATAATAAAAAATAAGGGAGTGGATTATTTACCATAAAATAAAATAACAACTTGGTCAAAAAATGATAAGCCACCTAAATAACTACCACCCTGTAATATGAAGAACCCAACTGCCCATATTTATCTTTTAATTTATGAATTTCCTTCGATTAGGTTCTCCATTATAATACATTTAGTTAGACACCAACTAAAAGTAATTTGAGAAAATGATACATTTTCATGATTAATTGGGTTTTTGAATTTATTTGCAGCAATATTATGGCACCCTTCCTCTGTACAGTTCTCTCTCTCTCTCTCACACACACACACACATATATATACACAACAACTTAGCATACTGAAAATATATATATATATGTCTGGTTTGGTGCATTGTCAAATTTTTATTTATTTTTTTCCTCCAATTCACAAATTAAGTAAGAAAAATGGTTTTATTTTGATTGAAAATGATAATTGTTCTTCCTTGTATGAATATCTTAAAAGAATGTTAATGCTATATATACAACCACGCATGCCATTTTTTTTTTTTTAATAAGACTATTGAATTACTAATACTTATTGCGGCATGTGCAAAGCATTTGCAAGCTCTTGTAAAACTAATGTTATGTTTGACCAACTGTTTTTAATGTATTGGTTTAAATTACTCAGCAAATTAAATCTAATAAACTCATATTTGAAATAGATATAATAACGAATAAAGTCCAACAAGGCATATCAACAATGGACTTAATTACATTTTTAATATTTCAATTAAAACCCTAGTGGCAAGATGAGTATTTATAAAAGATTGGCAGATGAATATTAATTTTGCGGTATTTTTAATATATTCTATCAAAATTAACAAGAAATTTTCACAAAAATGAATGAGATGAAGATACATATCCAGTTATTGACAAACAAAACCAAGATTTTAAGATTATCTAAATGAGCAAATAACCCCCCAAGAAGGCCATCTACTTCAAAATTCAAATCCATCTGTCTCTGTATATATATATATATTAGAGGTGTTCGAGTATGTATATATGTATATATTTATATCATTGAGACTGTAATTCATTGGTATTTTTTTTAATCTTTTGAAGCTAGATAATGTTTCGAATATCTTTCAAAGGAGAAATGTGTATGAGTTTTTTTTTTTTTTTTAAATAATAAGAATAAAAAAAAAGCAAGAATGCATGAATATTGTATTGTTGTATATATTTTGATCAGACAAAACACTACTTCTAGGCATCATCTCGCCAGAAACATTGACTGGAATTTTATTTATAATTTAATGATTTTAATGAAGTGCCAGAAGTTCAATACTATGTGCAATAAATGATGATATAGCTTCACCCTCGCACGCCTCTTATTAATCAAACAGGCGCGCGTCCAAAACAAAGAGATTGGAAATAGTGAAATATTGTTGCTTGTAATTATTATTTACAGGAAATTTTTATTTTATTTATTAAAAAAATTTTAATTTTTGTTCCGTAATATTGTAAAATAATTTTAAATAAGAAAGTACACGAGATTGTAAGTTAATTCAAACAATTTTTCTAAACAGATATTACTCTGTGTTTTACAGTCGATTTATGTGACTTGAATTTTATGATTTTATGTGATTTAAATTTTATCTTTTTCCCACTCATTTTATGCATGCGTGACTTAAGCAGTGAAAACCTTATTAATTATTTATTTATTTATTTACTATTACTAACCTCCACTGTTGTAGCCGTTAGGTTCTTAATTGGTGAAATTTAATTTCTCGTTGGGTAAAAAGTACAAACCAACAATCACATCGAATGAATGAAATGCTCCCAACATTTCTAGTTGCAAATATTTACTACAATTTACCTGCAAACATCATCCGCTAATAAAATTACATTTTCTTGCACCAAATTTACATTCATCTTCCACCAAATCTTTCTACTCTCAAATTCACTTCAATCCAATCTCTCTCTAACCTCCCTCTTCTCTCTCTAACCTCTCTCTCTCTCTCTCTCTAGCATTTATATGATCTATATCCTCAGTCATAACATAATTAAGAAAGAAGTAAAGAACCCCATCTTTTCCTTCCTCCCAAGTCATTATATATAATGCCCTTTCAAACCCCAAACCACCACCACAAACACATTTTGATTGTGTATCTTCTTCTGTGAGGAGGTTGTTGTACTTGTTGCTTCAACCCTAACCCTAACCCTAGCCCTTCTTCATCAGCTCATCCCTTCAACTCTCTTGCTTTAGGTTGTGAAAAGTTTCTCGCTCCTACTTAAGGTACATTAATTAAAATCACTATGATCATTTCTTGTTCTTTTCTATCCTCTGTTTTTTTTTCAATGATCAATTTACTGTTTCATTGAATTCATTAACCGAATATATGTGAATTTTAATTAGCTAATGCTATAATCTGATGTTCTTCTATCAAATCTAGGCCGGTTTTGATATTTCAAAATGGATCACAACGCGAAGAGTCCGAAGCTTGATCTGAAGTTGCACTTGTCCCCACCAAGGTCAAGCCACCATACTGAATCAGCAAATGGATCTGTTTCGTCTATGGAAATCACGTCGCCTCTGAGCTCATGCGTGTCGTCGGAGCTGAGTGTTGACGAGACTCAGCGCTATTCGAGCAGCCCAGAAACCACATCAATGATGCTAGCAGGGTGTCCTCGCTGCCTCGTATACTTGATGTTGTCCAAGGAGGATCCAAGGTGCCCCAAATGCAAGAGCACAGTACTGCTCGATTTTCATGAGGAGATGAGGACCAAGAAGACAGAAATCAAGAAGAGCTACTAGGCTCTTCTACTTTAATTTTCTTATAAGTACTTTCTTTTCCCTTCACAAGCTTTAGGTTTTTCTTTCTTCTTTTCTTTTCATTTTTTCATATGTCGTGTTTGGTTGCCCACAAGGCAGAGGAAAGAAAAAAACGGATTTGGGTTCATCAAGGTTGATTTAGTGATTGTAAAATTCTTTAGTGTCTTCATTTTCTGTGCTTCATTTCTGCAACTGAACAACCCTTTATGTTAATTTGGATCCTTAATTAGTATTGTCATTGACTCTTACTTAGTTGTTCTCTTTACATCTTTTTATTATTATTTTTCTTTTTTAATTGCAAGCAAACGCACATATACGAGAAAATTATACCATTTAAGCTAATTTTTATTAACGTGTGTAATATTTCTCGGCCTTTAGAAATATTTAGTTGCTGACTTCAATGACCTGAATAAGAAGGTATTAATTAATTAATGATTTTGACAAGAGTCTGAAATTTTGAAATAATGATAATAATTTTATGGTTGATTATTAGGTTTAAAATTTCTTGGAAGTTGCTTCACGTATCTTTTTTAAAATTGACTGCAAGAAATGGGCATGATTTTGTGTTTGGTTTTTAGGAATTTGATCAAAAAATCCAGTTTTCAAACAAAGAACATTTAAGGATATTGAAGAAGGTGTCCCTAGCAATTAGACCATCATTTGTCACATTTATGACATTTGACTTTGTTTGCATTTACGGTGGGTGGGTGAGCTACATTTTGCTCTTATATTGATGCACATGAGGGGCATCAAAGGTTTCATTTACATTTCTCCTAAAATCCAAACCATTAAATCTGGAGTACCGTACGGGGTGCTGGGGGTAGAGACAGGCTTTTGGCATTAGAGTCGAGATACAACGTCTGACTTTCGGTCATTTTCGATTCGTATGTTGTGAGTTCGGGTGTGGACTCTATCATGATATTAACATAGAGATGCGATATCATTTTTTTTGCTAATATTTTTCAGAAAATTGGCTGCGATGCCATATGGTGTTTAGGGATAAATATGGAAAGGGTTGAGACAGATTTTATAGAATATTTTCAATTACGATAATAATTGCACATGTCTCGATAGTCGAGTAAGTTAGTGCTTTCAATAAATTTTGGAGTGTCAAGTTTTGACTCTATGCATCTACTATTCTAACAATAATAAAAACAAGATTCAACTTTTTAATTAAAATTTAAGACTAAAATTATTGTTAGAACAGCAAAATAATACATAAAAAATCTCAAAAAAAATAATTTAAAAGAATATTTACTGATTGGAATAGAATAAACTATGAATTGCTTAATACATACCTAATATTTTTGAATATAAAATAAAGTATGAACACAAAATTGTAATTTATCACTATAAACGAGTCGGGGCGGAGGAACTTTTTCCCATGCCCACCCTATAACTATGCGGATTTTTAATCCTAAACCCCACTACAAAAAATCATTAAACCACCCCTATAACCTTTCTAAACAGACAGAGAGAGCGAATACCTAACAAAACAGGCTGAATATTTTGCCATTCCTAATCGTGTTGCCAAATGCCAGCTATTATTATTATTTTTTTTATTTTTCCGTTAGGAACAAGCAATGACCCATCAAGTGATAACTGATAACTATGATTAATGTGCATACAAACCTAGTTGTTAAAAATTAACAAGGAAAATAGTAATAAAAAAAAATGCTTAAACTGATCATCTCATCCAAATATTTTTTAATTTAAAGAGCCATTGAGAGAAACTTTTATGTATCTTTAATATTTTGAAATATATATCATCAGCCAATTATATTATTCCATATTTTATTTTAGTAGGTCATACCATTGCGTATGTTAAAAATATTTTATTTTAATAAATCGTTTCATTACGTATCAATATTTAATTCGTTCATAATATCACATTTGCCAACAAAATTAAAAAAGTTCTCGTATGGTTTGTTCTGAATCCCCACACCGCACTAATCATAGGGCCTCCGTGGCTCCCTCACACTTGCGTAGAAACTATTCTTTGCAAAATGTTGAGAAACTTTTTGTATGGAAGTTATTAAAAACGTGCTCCATGGATAAGTAATTCATTTTTTGAAAAAAGAAACTAAAAAACTACCAGGTAAAGGCCCTAACCTAGTGGCATTTAATTTACGAAGATAAAATACGAAAAAAAAAAAAAAACATTTGGAAGCCTGTCCAACCTGCTGATGATAATTGATTTAGTAAAGATTATTTAAGAATTTATAAATTTTTTATGTCCTGATGAAAGTTTAATTAACTAAAACTGGGAAATTGAAGCAGCTTTCTTCTGTGTCTAGTAGATCTATTTAAGTAGAACTTATACCTAGAATATATATGCACAATTATTTTTGGGTATATAATTCAAGGTGCTTTTGTTTCTTGTTTCTGGAGAATGATCTGAATAGTTTCTTTTAATTGGCATCAAAAGTTGATTAAACTGATATTATATACTCACGTTGAAGAGTTGGATTGAATTGGTAATAGGTCTGAGAATTTTTTTTTTTTTTTTTTTTCATTCTCGAAATATTAACTTAAGATCGAAGTATTAAAACTCAAATTTACTATGACAAAGGTAAACCAAATTAGTAAATTATTGGTGAATTGGACCGACTTTCTTTGTACTTTTTTTTTTCAACATTGCTGAGTGTAAGATATGGGTTCCTACTTCCAAAATGGCATTCTATTATGTATATATATAATATATATGTATGTATGTATGTATGTATATATATATATATGTATGTATGTATACACACGTGGTTCATGAATTCTAGGCATATTTGAAGTGATAATAATGATGAATACACACCTGAATATGAAATGCAGTGTTATATATGGGCCTGGCTTGTCTTTTACTACACTAGTAGCTCCTTGAATTGGACTCATCAATAGTAAAAAGTGATTTTGTAAAAAGTGTAATTGACACAATAGTATGATATTGTAGAGCTTAAAGCGTCATTACCCTTTATAAAAGGTGGAATCAGATGCAAAATAAGCACCGATTCATATTTGGTCAAGAATAAAGTTGATATTATCTTATCACCACATGAACCAATAAATTAAATTGTTTGTCAAAAAAAATTACATTTTCAAATTGAGTAAATAATGACAATTATTCAATTTAAAGACTGGAAAAAAAAAAAAAGAAAAAAAAAAAAAGAAGAAAGAATTATTATATATAAATGGTGTTTTAACGGCGTCAAAGTCTAATAGTTTCAAAAAAATATAGTTGATCAAAACGCTGACGTGAAAATAAAAGAGCACTGTCGACCCTAACTGAAGTACCACTTTTTGAAAACAACAAGCCTTTTCATCAACCAATTCACTCAATTCAATTATATATATATATATATATATATATATATATATATATATATTGAGTAATATGTATAAAATAATTTAAATGCATTCAAAATAATAAGGAAATTGAGTAAATCCAAATCAATTTGGCTAGGTCAATTCCTTTGATCAGGTGAGTCATTTGGAGACTTTTCAAGAGATTACTCCAAGCATTCCTTGCAGGCAAAATAAGCTTCCTACTTTTAACTAAAATAAATAAATAAATAAGCTTCCTACCTTCTTTCCTGGGATTGACCAGGTTTCTTGTTGGATAAACACTTCTGTTCAGATTTAAAGTTGACCGGTGAACAGTTTCTCAAGATTCTTCACCCTTCCATTGAATTTCTTTTTGTTTCTTCAATAAAATGAATGGGTAAATTGCCCAAAAAAATAAAAATAAATAAATAAATTGATATATATAAAATGTACAAATACTTCTCGTGTTCAATTTTTTTCAAAATGAACAGAATGGGTAAAGTGCCCCAATAAAATATAAATAAATAAATAAATTGATATATACAAAATGTGCATATGCTTTTCAAAAAAAAAACTTATTTTTTTCAAAATGAACAGATAAGAACAATTCTTCAATTTAAATATTCAAATACTTAAAATGTTGTTACGACAAAATAAAAAATATATATTAATCTCAAATTTTTTGAATTTTTATAAAAAAAATTTGGGTTTTGGATGTTATTTTGGAGTTTTTACAAAAATTTGGGAAATTGAGATTTTTTTTTTAAAAAAAAAAGAAAAAAAAAAAATTGAAGACCGAAATACCCAAAATACCCTTGGGGTTTTTATTATAAAAAATCTAAGGGCAATTTGTTACAAATTTTCAAATTATAAAAATTTATATATAGATACAAAATAACATAAATATAGGCCAACTTTGTATTATTTATATTACTGTAGTATATTATATTATATTACATTATATATATCTATACACACAGAGTGACGGAGCAAGGATTTCTAATGAGGGGGGCACATTGCCAAAAAAAAATAATAATAATACGGAGTACATATATATATATATATAACAAATATAAAATTTAAAAAGATAAAGAAGAAGAAAATTATTAAAATATAAAAGGAAAATAAAAATGAAAAAACTTTAATAAGAAATAGTAAAAAAGTTACAATTGAAGAAGAAAAATTTGACTTTTTTTATTAAGAAAATTTAAGAAATGTGAAAAGTAAAAAAGAAAATAAAAAAAAAATAAGAATTCCTAAAATTATATTCTTAGGTTGTAAATAAGCTTCCTACCTTCTTTCCTGCGATTTTGCACGTTTGTAATCTGGTAACGTAAGAGTAAACCTATTTTTTTAACACCTCAATCTTCAATATAATAATTAAATAAACTCTTTTTTTCCAACATACATTTCACACCCTTGACCCATCACCCGGTTGACAAGTCTACAATTTTTTATAGAATTATTGACCTTTTATGGAACACTTGTTTGCTGCTCCAACTAATTTGTTAGTTCCCAGTATTTGTGGGCCACACCTTACAGTCACGGCTTTGTTTATTATTTCAACCTTCCTTATTTTTTAACTGTATTAGAGTTGAAGAATATGGGTTTTGGGTACTTTTTAGTCATTTTTACATCATATTATTTTTTATATATTTTATAAAATGTGTCATTAAGAGCATTTTAAATCAATTTTATCCTTAAATGTGTAAGGATGACCTATTTGCACAAATGTCATATATATATATATATATATATAAAGTGTTGTATTTTTAGTAGGAGCAAGGATGTAAAGTGTGGTATTTTTACAAATTGAGGGTGTATTTTTAAAATTTTTACAAATAGAGAGAGGACATTTTCAAAATTTTAACAAAAAATATAAATAATAATGCAAATAAAAAAATCTCCCCAACTGGTCCTGCCTATATATATATATATATATATATATGATATCAAAATAGTTTACACTCCTATACTTGAATCCTCATTCCTTATATTTGACAACCTGAAATTTAAAAAATAAAAAATAAAAATGGAGAAAGAAAAGAAAAGACAAAGGAAACGTATTGTGACTTATTATTATTAGATAATATAATATGATAATTTTTTTTTATTATTTCTATTTTTAGTAAAAGGGTACTTTGAAGAAAAATATTTTCTTTTTACGAGTTTTTATTGGTAATTTTTTAATAATAAAACTAAACACTCGTACTCATAACAAGTAGCCAACTAAAAGTCATTTTTTTTTTATCAATCACTCGTGAGTGAAATCATTTTTTGGGTAATTTATAGTTGTGACAAAAGGGCTCTCAAAAGTTGCTCATGTGAGCAATACCTTTTCTGCAACACATTGATCCCATTCTGGGAATCACTTGACACTCATCCACAAGCTAGGAATAAAGCAAGGTTCTCTCTGCCTAGCACGATGGAAGAATCAGGACCTCTGTCTGGTTTTGGCCCCTTCATTTAAATCGACAATATAACAATGATTAGTTGTGATTTTAAATTAATAATATAATAATTATGTAAATATATTTCGTTACATTATTGTTGTATGAGTGTTGTATTTCATAATGTATAACATGATATTTTACGTGAAAATATAAAATAATCTTAATATACAAATTAATAATATAATTTGAAACAAAAGAAAAAAAAAAATTAATTCAAATGACTAACTTCATGCAATGGACAAAGACAACCTTGATTTAGGACATAATAGTAGTGATTTTTTTTTTAAACACATAATAGTAGTGAATTAGCTGAATCAGAATATGAGCAATACATAGAAGTCACATGACGTATGTCAAACAGAGACCAAAATAAATGATTGAGCAAAGGAGGCCAATGTGGACCAAGTCTTTTCCCTTGTGCTACCACTAACTTTAATCAGTCAGTCAGAATTGCCAAACGCGTTGAATTTGGACCCAATTTCCCCACTTTCTCTCTCTCTCTCCCTCACTCATAAATAACCACTCTCTCCTCTCTAGAAACATACATGCACCCCCTCTCTCCCCTCTATTATATTCAGTGGGTACACGTCTTCTTCTTCATAGCCTCCTTCCTCGCAACATCTTTTTCTCTCACCCCCTTCTCGTATAAAGCAACCCATTTCTCTCCACTCACTCATCACCACAACCAAACAACAAACATCAGCTTCAACAACTTTCTCTCTCTAGAAGTTAGATCGAGAATAGAGGAAGCTGTGGACTCGAATACTTACTATACAATCAACGACCATGTCAGGCGAAGAATTTCTTGAGACACCCAAACCCATCGTGATCCGACAAGTCTGGTCGGATAATCTTGAGTACGAATTCGAATTGATCCGGGATCTGATCGATGAGTACCCTTATATTTCCATGGACACAGAGTTTCCCGGCGTGGTTTTCCGACCAAAGGTGGACCCCACAAAGCCGTATTATCACAGTCAACGCCAGCCGTCCGATCACTACAAGATCTTGAAGACAAACGTTGACGCTTTGAATCTCATCCAGCTTGGCCTCACCCTCTCTGATGCTTCCGGCAACCTCCCCGACCTCGGCACCGGCGAGCTATGCATCTGGGAGTTCAACTTCAAGGACTTCGACGTGGAGCGTGATGCTCACGCGCCGGACTCCGTGGAGCTGTTGAGGCGCCAAGGGATTGATTTCCACAGGAACCGAGCTGAGGGGATTGACTCGGCACTGTTCGCTGAGCTGATGATGTCTTCGGGGCTGGTTTGTAATGACTCAGTGAGTTGGGTGACGTTTCACAGCGCGTACGATTTCGGGTACCTGGTTAAGATCCTCACGCGCCGAGAGTTGCCGAGTGGGTTAAATGACTTTTTGGGTATTCTGAGGGTGTTTTTCGGAAACAAAGTTTATGATGTGAAGCATTTGATGCGGTTCTGTGCTAGCTTGTACGGTGGGTTGGACCGGGTGGCCAGGACGCTTGAGGTGGACCGGGCGGTTGGGAAGTGCCACCAGGCCGGTTCAGATAGTTTGCTGACGTGGCATGCCTTCCAGAAAATGAGAGACATCTACTTTGTAAAGGATGGACCGGAAAAACATGCCGGTGTGTTGTATGGATTAGAGGCTTATTAAAATGTCAATTAATGTGATAATATTAATTTAATTAATTCTTTTATTTAATAATGTGTTACATTTAATTGAATTTTCTACTCCATATATTAAGTTAGCAAAGTAGGCTTATGCAGTAAATAATCATATTAACCTAAGTCATGAGAGGAGGAGCTTGATAGCGGTATAATTAAATCATAAAGAATTTGAGCGAGAGCGGTCTCGGAGCATGAGAGCGGTACTTGTTGAGAAGAATTGGGTGACTCAGATATTAACCACAAGCCTCAGCTACACAAAAATGGACATTGACTCCAGTTATAGGTTATACAATGTGCAAGAAAAGTGGAAATCCGAATCGGGCGAAAATGACGGAGACGTATTGGATTTTGTATTCTCAAGGGAAACGATCCTGTAAGCAAACTCTGACTCAAGTCGCCTCTGGCTTTACGACTCTTTCGTCCCAACACTATAAATCGACTTAAAACTTACTCTCTTAATCCTAATAGAAACCTAATAGAAGGGTTATTGGTAAAATACGAACACTTTGCAAATGTTCTGACCCCTTTGCAGTATGATTGATTTCATTCCTTCAAATTTTGAATTGGTGAAGGCAAAATAAAAACTTTGTTTTTACTAATCGGACTTAATTATATTTTCAATAAGTTTGAACTCCGATCAGATAGAAAACATTACCTTAATTCACTCAGAAAAATCAAGGATGATTTTCTATAAATACTCTCAAAAAGCTCACTTTATAACAAAAACATTTTTCTTCAAAACCCTTTATTCAATCAAGAAAGAAATAGAGTTTATATAGACTATAGAGTCCTCAATGTATATGAAAAGTTATTTTAAAATCGTAATTTCCCCTAAGAGTTTTAGTGCAAATAGAAAATTAAAAAGTTACCAAAAAGTAAAATCCCGAACATTCAAAAAAATGCAACCGGTTCTGTTTTAAACGCACACGATTATGTTTTTATTGAAAGCAATTTTGATCACAGAAAGTGTAACCAGTTCTGTTTGAAACGCAAGCAATTGTGTTAAGAATTACTTTTCAACCTGAGAAAAGTGTAACCGGTTGTGTTTTAAACAGAACTAGTTGTACTTTTACGAAGAGTAAAAATACACATGTTTTGACTCAAAAACCTCATAGCTCAATACACTAAGTGGCTCAGACCTATTCCTTTTGTCTATAACTCGTTCAGAAAAAGAGGTGAAAGACAGCCTTGCGTAGTCGCGTTCGGATGCCGAATCGATTGCTGCTCCTGCACTGCAGTATCTGTAGTTTTTTACTATTTGAATGAAGTGCCGGGTGGGTGATACCTTTGTTCGATCTCATCGCCCTTAATCAAGGAGAGCGCACTTCTAAAACCACTATACTACAATCTAAGAAAGTCATCAGCCGCAATCTGGCTCGATAGTGGCTACCGCTTTTCTTTGATCCTTTGATGAATGAGTCTTTCTTATAGCCAGTCTGGAAACCATTGACCTTGCCTTTTCCAGGCAGGCGGGGATAAGGAACTTTCTGAAAGCCTTGGCGAACCACTATTTGCTTCCCGTATCCATACGGAATTTCTAGCTTCTTCGTTGTTAATAAGGCGCCTAGCAGAAAGCTCAAATGAAATGACTTGTTTAAGTGATATTTGCATCAAATTGAAGTTTGCACGCACTTGTTGTTCCGCTTCCGACATCGAGACTCAAAAATAAATAGAAAATTACAACTCGATCGGATACGTTTTGGCACCAAATTTTACCAGTTACAAAATTTGAATCTCACATTGACTACATTTCTAATCCAATTTAATAGACATTGTGTGACGATCTTGTGGACGGGTGTGTGTGAGTGTGTGCAGGTGATACCAGTAGGCTATCACACTAGGTGAGCTATAGGTGCACAATGCGTTTTAAAGCCGTGCTGTCCGTGAACTTACCATAACTCCGAAGTTAAGCATGCTTAACCTGGAGTAGTACCAGGATTGGTGACCCTCTGGGAAGCCTCTGGTTCGGGGGAGCCAAAAGCGGACAATATTGCGTCTGGCTAGGGTGAGAGTCGTTACACATTGTCTACATTTCTAGTCTTATTTAATGGACATCAACTAATTTTTAAGGGAAAATTATAAGGTTTGCTTGGTTTGTAACTCTAAAAACAGTTCTCAAAAATTCAGAAAACAGAAAAGTGTTCTCAAAGAACAATATTTTATAGTTCTCTGAAAACAGACATTTTTATAACTGATTTTTCAAAAAATAGTTTTTTGAAAGAAAAATGTTTCCATAGTTACAAACCCATAATTTTGAGAACTTCCATCTAATAACTTTAAAACCAACGCAAGTGAAACACTAATGTGACAAGTCACATAATACCACATTTTAACCACAAACTATAGGTTCTCTCCTGCTCACCCATTATCCCCCAATTTTATCACGTTATACAATAATCACAATCTCACCAAAAAAAGATTCCAATCAAATAGAAAAGTTGAATAAATGGCTTTAAACAGTAAAATTTGTCGAATGGATAGAGATTGTCGAACCAAATCTTCTCTATCGTTGCCATTGAAATCATTTGGTGGCAACGACTTGGTGATAGAGTTCCTTCAGCAGTTGTCGACGAAATCCTCTCTCTGATCTCCGGTCGTCCCAAAATCTCAGATTTGAAACTCAAATCAGATATATCCCAATTTCTCACTCCATCTCTATTTCTCTCTCATTAAGAAAAATCTAGGGCTGAAAATTCACATTCTAAAGCAATTAGGGCTAAAAATATATATATAAGATCCCCAAAACCTAGGGCTAAAGTGAATACCTTCTTGCAAAGCTTCCAAGTATATCGATTTTTTTTAAGTCGGGTCTAATAGCACTATTATTTTTTTATTCCTAGTTTGGGCATGTGCAAGTTTTTTTAAAAATTTTTGATAAATAATTTTTAATTAGTCAAGTATGCAAAATATAAAAAAATTGAACCTCCATTTTTTTGTATTTAGTAAATATGATCAATAAAAGTTATAGGACAAACAAATCAGCTTAAGAGGACACTTGTGATGAGGACGTTCACAATTTGATATTAATGTTGTACGGAATAAGGATACTTTCTTTTATCATTGGAAAGGAAAAACTTACACACCCACTTATTCTTACAACGACTCAAACTTTCACTCTCTTTTAAAAGTTAAATGAGGTATCATTAGACTACACAACCTTTTATCAATAAATGTCTGTTAAACACTGTTTTCACGTGTGTATATTTAGATAGAAATATTAAATCCTATTAGGATTTATTAACGGTAATGAAATCCGTCTCAATAGAGGCAGAGCAAGAAACACCATGAATCCACTATGTGAATACCGAGAAAATTAAGATTTATTAACCTATTGAAATGTAAGATAGATAGCCATTTAACTTTCTATATAATAAAAAAATATTTGTGAACAAAATATTAAATGCTAACCCCAATATTTTATTATTATTATTATTTTTTTTTAATAAAGTAAAAAATGTTAAAAGTTAAATTAGTAGATACAAAGAGTCGAAACCTGTCACTTCAAAATTCACCGAATGCACTATCGAGGCATCTGCAACTCCAATATTTTATTCTGATTAAGTCAACTAAGTATATCATATAAGTTGTAAGAGTTATTTTTTAATAGTTATCAATGTTAGTTAGGACAAGTAGTTATTAGAATTTGGTGACCCTCCTAGTGGTTTTTATAATAAAATTTTCAGTCCAAAAATGTGTGTATTCTCATATTCGGAAAGTCCAAAAGACCAAAACCTCATTCTAATAAATCCTACTGAACACAAGTGCAGAAAACACTCCTAAAATATATTTCGCGTAACACTTTTATCTCTATTTGAAAAGGTGTGCAAAAAACATTCATAATCTTTTTTCATTGTGCAAAAATACCTCTCAATCAGAAATCTGACATAAATTAGTGTTGTAATACCCAGTTTTGTCTTTTTACTCTTCCGAAAATGCTTAAGGAGGTATATATGCTACTAATCTCATAGTATATGGGTGTTATGTGCACGTTACCTTATATATATATATATTTGAAACTTTTTCTCTCTATATATATATTTCTAAACTTTTTTTAAAAAAAAGAACTTTGAGAATTTGTAAAACAAGGATTTGTTTTTTTTTTTTTTGAGATTTCAATTTACTGTTTTCTACTATTTTTTTGTACCAACACTGTTAAACAATAGAAAAAAAAAAAAAAAAAAAACCTAATCCCAGTCTGCACTAGTTTTCGGAGTTTAAAGCGATTTGTTTTCTTTAATTTGCACTTTTTTTTTTTTTTTTTTTTCTATTTTTATCTTTACTTGTCCATTGCCGGTATCCTCCAATAGTATCATTTTCAGCCATTTTACAAAATTATTTATTTTATAAAATAATTCAGTAAGTGTAATTTAGTTAACTTATGGTTTAAATTTGTCAGAGGGATTTACACCAAATTGAAATTTTAGGAGTATTTTTTGTACATGAGAGGTGTCCTCCAATAGTGTCATTTCATTCATTTTACAAAATTATTTATTTTTATATAGTTTATAAAATGATTCAGTAAGGGTAATCTAATTAACTTAGGGTTTAAATTTGTCAGAGGGACTTATTTGCACCAAATTGAAACTTGAAGAATGTTTTTTGGTATGTAATGCGTGTGATATGCACAATAAACATATTTTAGGGTGCTTGAGAGAGAGAGAGAGAGAGAGAGAGGAGAGATTGGGTTGGGTTTTTGGGGTTACAAGTCCTGACAGTCTCATGGTCAAAGGTTGATTGGGCCTATGAGCCGAAATAAAGGATACTACTACGTTGATTACTCTTGTTGACTGTTCGCGGTAGACCCAAAAGTTGTATATAACTAAAAATTTATTGGATCATAGTTTAGAAGTTCCAACGTTGATCGTAAAATATGTTTGCATTTTTTAAAATATGTTTTATTTTTATTTTTTTTCCATCATAAATTAAGAAGTTGAGTTATTGGTTAGCCGGCTTGACTTTGAGAACATATGGGCCAAGAGTGAAAGTGACATGGCAAGTGCCACTTGGCCCACTTGTTTACAATGGTCCATGTTGATGCGTCTCATTAACGTCTTGAATAAGTTTCAATTTTTTAACTTTTATTTATTTATTTATTATTATTCTCTATAAATATTATAAAATTAAGTCAATTGGAAATTGAAACAAGTAAATTCGGTCTTGCGGTGAGCATATAGAGTCAACCCACACGTGAAACATGTAAAAAATATTCGGAAAAAATGAAGAATTTTCTCTCGTGCTTTCAGTGACTCCTCTAGTGTTGTAGATTATAAAAATTGTCATTTGAATAAAGAAAATTTTACAATAAAACAAAAATATATAACGAATCACATATTAAAAAATATACTACCGAAGTTTTATATTTTGGGAATTGATTTTGACTGCTGATTTGTAATATGCTTATTTTGTAGGCATGGAATCGGGCGATACTATCACTCTCCTGCAATATGAGTTTTTTTAGCTTGCTACTGAAAAATAGAAGAATAAAAAAATAAAAAATAAAAGATTGGAATTTTGATTTACTGAGGCCGACCACTTGGATACCAAATGGGGACATATACAGAGTATGGTTAAAGGGGATGAATAAGCATTATTATTATTTTTTCTTTTCTCAAATGACGTTAAACAAAATAATCAGTAAATAGACATGATATTTTAGGTTAAAAAGCCCAAACGTGCTTTCGTTTTCTATTGATTATTATTATTATTATTATTATTATTTGAGAAGCAATTTCGTTCTTAGAAATAGTTTTAAAAAAAGAAAATGAAACCAAAGTTCTTCCATAATTGTTAAGGTTCATAAAAGCCTGCTAGTTATACTTGGGTCCATCCCTTGTGGGCTTTGCTTTGGGCTACAGTCGTATTCAATCCTTTTGGGAATTGTAGACGTTTTTTTTTGCATGGCCTGGTGTCCTCCTCAACTATACCATAATAATACAAGGTGTTATACGTTAAAGAGCATATATGTGTACTACATATATATATATTTATAAGCTTTAGATTGGAACATTCAAAAAAATATTAACTTTTTATTTCCCTCTCCATCTAAATTAAAATCTTTCTTGAAACACCAAAAAAATTAACAACTTTTTAGGTGCCTTCAATTATATATATATATATAACTGCAGTCTGCACAATTGTTGTCTTTTTCTATAATTTACCTTTATGCTGTCTTGAGCATATTCATAAATTATTTCATTACCACTTCTGATACATTGGGTACGTACCTACCTTTTTTTTTTTTTTTCAGATTTCTTTATGATTTCCTAATTTAATATAACAATCTATAGGATCAAGTACCATGATCTCTATTATGTGCACCGACAAAAGAAGCCAAAGAGGTTTAGTATCTATGCGTTTGCATTAGTTTGGATGCATTTGTTCATCCAACTGACGCAACTCCAAAAACCTAACCAATCCCTATCCAAAGAGACATCATTCTTTCACCTAATGTGGTTAAAGAATCAAGTTTACATACTTTTATGTCCATGCATCCATTTATTCAGACCTAATTGTCTAATCGAGTTAGACAGAGATCAAAATTCCTTAGCAAACCTTTTCAATTAGACCATTAGGTGTAAGAATCATTATCAATACTGCTATCAAATTGAAACGGCCGTTCGGAAAAGAAAAAAAAAATAGTTATAAATTTCCTGAATATATTGCACCTTCTAACATAAATAGGCCTTACCTAAATGTGTAACATAGCATGTATAATGATCATAAATTTGAGGACAGAGAGATAAATAATAATGAAAGTGATAGAAAACAAACTAAAAATCCAGGATGAATGAACATAAATACACCAACATGGTCAGCCAACTACTCAGTCATTAAAACTGCAACCGGTTAGTAGTAAATGTCCAATATAAATTGGAGACTAAATCAACTCACAAGAAAACATATATCAAATACTCTTCGTCTCTCATCAACACTGCCTGCCTGGACCATTATTGCTCGCGTTCGAATGCGAGCCTGAGAGAGGCCTCCCAAGTATATATGTGTTCCCCACGTGCTATTCAATGCGTTCTCACATGGCCTCACGCGTGCCACCACAGAGCAAGATAGATGATCGGTCCGTCACATTGTATTGCTGATCCCATTACAGATGTCCGTGAAAGCTTGAACAATGATGTCATGATGGCAATGTGAATTGAGCTCCAAGAAGCAGTTGAGAAGGTCTTGGAGGTCGTCTTTGGAGTAGATTTCTTTCTCTAGGATCATTTGAATCATCGAACGGCGGAAATCGTGATACGGGTGGTCAGAGACCTTGGCGACGGCAACGCTGTCGGAGATTTTGGAGCAGTGGGCGGTGGCCGTATTGGACGAATTTTGTTCAGAGCAGTGTGGGGAGGAAGTGGCGTCAACGTTGAGAGAGAATGTGGTGGAAGTGTGCTCGTCATCATCGACGGAGTGGGCAGTACCACCCCTCTCCCAAGAGCTTGAAGAGGAGTGGTAGAAACAAGTAGTGGACTTCTCCTTCTGGTGGTTGTTATGACTTGGTGTTTTAGAATTTGGCTTCGGCTCTGGTTGGAATATGTCTGACAGTTTTGGCTTACCACAACCACAACCGCCGCAGAATATATTCTTGAAGGAGGTTTTCTTGTTGGAAGACATGAGAATAAGATATTTTGAGATCTGTAAAAGAGGATGGATGTTTGTTTCTCTAGCTAGGTGCAGTTTTGATTGATTGAGAGAGAAAGCTAAGAGAGAGATATAATTTAAAATGTGTTTGTAAATGATATGCTGCTTGTAGATAGGGATTCAATTTCAGGGGGAGAGGGTTTTGGCCAGATCTCACTTTTGCCGTAGGGAGTAAGGATGCATTTTAAGAGGTAGTTGACTCTTTAAGTTAAGATTTTTTATATATATATAGATAGATAGATATATATGGCATGGGCCCATCTTGATAAAGATTCTTCCACAACTAGATTGTTATTATTATTAGTTTTTCCTCTAATTTATCTAGGATTGGTATTTTTTTAGGCTAAATTACTTATCCCTCTTGAAGTATTATCAAATTACACATGAATGAAATGTTTGAAATTCATTACTTTGTGTTCAATGCTCAAAAACAATCATTCCGTGTTTTTTTTTTTTTAATAAAATGGCCTTTACCCTTTCTTTGGGTGGAGTGTTTTTTTTAATAATGTTGGAACAAAAAATAATATTTCATTAAAAATTTAAAAATATAAAGGATATTATTAATTTTTCATACTCAAATGGGAGGTCAACATAATAAAAGTTAAATTGTCTATCCATATGTAATTTATTCAAAACTCAAGAAAAATCAGTGTAATTTATCATATTTCTATAGTTGGCCAAAAAGCTAAATGGCGTACAGGCAAAAAAGAATTTGAAAATATAAAGAGATGATGATGATGAAAATGGAATTAAGGTAAAGATGACCGATGAAAAAAAAAAAAATTAAATAATATTTTTATTTCAACACAGATTATGGTTCATAATATAAATAAAAACATTAAAATCCGAAAAATATATGTATTTTTAATTATGAGATTCCACAAGTGACAAAAAAACATATGGATCATTATCATCCTCGTTTTTTAGTTTTAATTTGAGGAAATGGGTCATTAAAGGTGCATGATTACCTGTAAAATGTAGGACGAATTAAATGAGAGTATATAATGCATTATTTATTCCATTCGGTAATTCCCATAAGTAATAGATTGTTGGACCATTAAATGCAATCCATTAGATGGACCTCCCTAATTTTCTCAGCAAAATAGATACCTTTATGCTGCTTAATGAAGAGAGTTTATAAGTGTTAGGCAATCATATCTAAGTATTTGAGTGTGGGTCCTTTAACTTTGTAAAAGTCCAAAGAAAGAACAGTTGGGAGGTTGCACGTCATTCAAAAAAAAATTGGTTTAAAGGCCACATTTCTAGAAGGGTACGTGTATTGAGAATGGGATGGCCATTTAATTGGATGATCATTTACTATTTAATGAAATTTTTGCTGTTCGTATACCATGTCAGAATCCTGTTACACCATGTCCATTTTCGGAGATTTGGATGGCAAATGTTTTACCACACAAACACTTGGGTCCATTCAACAGTATTTTATCGATGTTTATTAGAATTTTTTTTAATATTAATTAAGATCTTTCTACTATTAGATAATTCTTTGAAGAATTCTGGAAACAGTAATCTCGTGATCCTAATCATTATATCTAGATTCTAGAACATTTTAAAGTGATTTTGTAAAGATGATAAACCCTTGTCGATATCTGAATCATTTTGATCGAATAAAGATGATACGACTCTAAGATATGCATCTCAACGAAAGAAATAAATAATAATAATAATAATAATAAATATTATTCCACTCAAATATATATATATGTGTGTGTGTGTGTGATGCTTAGTAATAATAACTAATTTTGTTAGAAATAGAAGACTTATAGTGACTCTCAATGATCTAATTATTTAAATAATATCCATTTTCTCAATTTCGTATTTCATTCTTTATCTAAAAGCGGGTGATAAGTGATAAATTATTCCATTCTTATCATAAATATAATTATAATAACTACATCATAAATCAATGATTATAATTTTAACAAACTCTTTACAATGCACTTACCGCAACAAACATATAGCATATTTGATTCATTAAATAAATAATGATAGATAGATGGATAAAAATAAGCAATCAAATGAGCAACTGACACAGGTGTCCTAAGAAAAAGAAAAAAAAATAAAATCAACTGGTACGAGCCTCTTCTATAAAGGAAATATCAGATGTTCAAGCCATGAGTTTATTAACTTGAAATTCATTAATAAATTACTCAAAGAATGAATAATCAAAGTGAATTTATTTGACCAAATATGTAGTTCGAAAAATAATCGACAAGTACTCCTGGTCAAATATTATAAAACTCACCATCTGGAAAATGGGTGTACTCTGTATATGTTGCTTATACCCTCGTTAATAACATTTGAATATAAAAGCGGTTCATAGATATGAAAGGACATTAAAGAAAAAATAATAATAATGTACCTTGAAGTAAAATACTCAAAAAGAAATTTTTATTATTTTGTTAGTAATATTACATTTGTTAGTAATATTACAAAGTGGTACCAAAGATAAATTAGGAACTGACAATAGTTTAGAAAAGAACACAAACAAGAAGAAAAAAAATTCAAATCTATCTAGGAAAACTATTGATGAGATCAACATTTATTAAAAGTAATATTAGGTAAATTGTTGATTATATCACCATATTCACAAAAAGTCTCCCATCACCAATGTTGTCATCAATCCTATCTGGTCGGAGTGACCCCGAAAAGGTTACGAAATGCCACCGTTATGTTCTTGATAACATGTTGATTAATGAACCTTAGACAGGCATTCACGGGTGGTTTCAACTCTTGAGATAGTTTTTCCCAGAACCGAACAAAGAAGTGCTTGTTTGATGAGGCTTGCATTGGAGGCATGGGCTGCAAGTAGGACCAAGCAGCCTGCTTAACCAGGCGATTCCGAATCGATATCTCAATGCCGGAACAAGTCAGTGACTGAACTTTTGTGGTTGAAGACGAGGCGATAATGTCTCTCAGTGACATGTATGACGGCGAAGAATCTTCAAGCTTGAAGCTGGAATTAGTCGGAAAGAATGAGTTTTCGTCGGGAAAGCTACGGCTGTAAGATGGTTTCCAGGTTGTTGAAACAGCGGAAGAAGAAGATTTCATGGAGTTTGTCCGACCAAGAGATAGAAAAGACTCCATTTTTTTTATTGGCAAATGGTGTGGATTTTGTGGAGGAAGTTATGAGGGAGACTAATTTAAAGATGGTATTGTAATTTAAAGAGATAAATATTAAGGAATTTAAAACTGCTAATATAAGTTTTGATTGGTGTGGTTTTAGATTATGCTAACCCAAAATGATTTAAACTACCGGTATATAACTGATATGATTTTATTGAATCATAATCCTTTATTAATTATAAATGATTATTGAATGATTATTGAGCATCAGTTGCAGAATCACTTGCAACTGAAAACTTTATCTAGAAAATTTTAAGCATAAAATTTAAAAAATTAAACACAACCCGAATAAAGTATTTTAACAGAGGTTAATTTCTTCTAACGTGTCTGTTAATAGAATTATTAATGAAATATTTCATTCACTCTTGCGTTAATTGTAATGAGCCAATGAAATACAAGCTATTTGTTGTTACTTTGTAATATCTTCTATCCTCTCTACATATTTATTTATTCTTTAATATTCTAAAATATCTACTAGCGTGCATAAATTCTCCCAGATTCCAAAATCTTTCAACTCTCTCTTTAATACTTTACCGCATAATTTTGAACTGACTCTAAAACTTTTTTTTTACTTACTCATATCATGCAGACACCAAATATTGCTCTCTTACAGCTCACGTGTCACTCAGCCGAACCTCCTGCAATTTGTACATTAAACTCAAAATTAATATCAAATTTTTTAAAAAATATTATAAGACTAAACAAAGTTTTAATAAACTTCAATTAGTTGAATTAAGTGGAGTCTAAAATCCTAATAAACAACTAACAAGAAAATCAAACTAAACTATTTATACACAGTATTTATAATAGATTATCAAACACCCAATGGTTACAGTATTTGTGTATATATAATAGATTATCAAACACCGAATGGTTAAATGGGTCAAACCCATCTTGTAAATACTTATTTGTAAGTGGTAAATCAAAGTCAATCCAAAGCCCAAACCCAACTGATTTGAATAAAAGAGAGAAAACAGCAAATCCTGGCCCTAAGCAGCAGAACCCAATCCAATCCACTTGCCCTAGAAACTGAAATGCTTTGCATTGCTTCTTCTCTTGCTACTTGTCCATTCTTCACCATGGGTTTAAAGAAAGCTGACATGACCAAAATAACCCTGACCGAATGACCGGTAGATATTAGCTTTCTTGGATTGGTTCATCTTGCAACAAAAATGTTTGCCTAAGCTCCCATTTAGATGGAATGCTTAACTTTCGATCATTACAGGAGATTCACCCTTTAATCCATCATATATTATTTACATGAGAAGCTTAAAATACTTTTTAGCATGATATATTTAATTGATCGTAATGATCTTACATTGGCTCCAGTTTAAAACCAGTAAACTAAAAATCTAAAAATTTTTTAATGAAGAAAAACAAAAAATTTGTTAACAACAGTCATGAACTCTCTTGCTGATTGTTGGATTGAAAGATCTACTAAAAAATTAAATTTATTTTTTGTACCATTCTAGTTAATTAATAAAAAAAGTTCAAGCCTCTTGACAAAAATATCTTTTATTAGAGTGTCGCCCAATACAAGGCCCTTAACATGAGAGTGAGTTTGTACTATATAATTTGTATGAGCAATATTTTAGGAAACTAAAATGAAAACTAAGAGGAATACAGTTAAACTAACAAATTTAACGAAAACAAAAATTAAGAAAAATTTAATTAATGTCATATATTAAATATTAGGAAAATGATAAAACAAGCGAGTAGGTTTAATTGAAAAAAAATCGATTAAACAGGTGTCTACCTTGAATTGATGCAACTAGCACGCCCTTCTTCCCCTTTCTCTAGTCTCTCTCCTCACGACTACCCTACTTTACTCTCACTCATATTCCTGTGTATGCATAATCTCTACGCTCATGGCTTTCTCTCACTCCTTTGCACAACCCACTACTCTCTTTTCTGATTTTGGGCTCATTCTTTTTCGTCTTAATTGAATTTTCTAAAAAGATCTGATATGTTTTCTTTGGATTACCAGCCCCAAAAATTAGATTTTTTTTTTTTTTCAAATGCAGTTCCACATGAATAGTAATCTTGTTTACTTTCTCACTCCATTTCAGTGTCTTCCAAAACGTCAATATAGGACATATCGAAATAGAATATCTTCCGGTAAGTCTTATATTAGTCAGGTGAAATAGCAGCACTTTAAACATTAAAAATCTCCCGTCTCAACTTGTATGAAACCTACGCATTATATTTAATTTAAGTATTTAACTATAAAAAGGGGCAAAAAAAAAAAAAAAAAAAAAAAAAGTAATAAGAAAAATCTGAAAGGGCAATAAAGTAATTGAACAACTGTTTACTTTTCGGTTAAAGATGATCAGGTACACGGCTGGTTCATTGGTTGTCTCTCGTGAGACAAATTGAGATATTTATTTATACTCTCTTTTATTTAGACAAAAATGAGTTTGGATATCTAGCAATGGCCGCAAATCTGTTAGTCTCTTCTCACTGCCTCAATACCAATTCTCTATCCTCTGTTTCTTCGTTAAACAATGGAAAATCCAACAGAGTCTGCAACTATGCTTCTTTGATTAGTACCTCCAAACCCAATTTAAATGGGTTCAGGGTCAGAGCAATCAAAGAGAAAACAGAGGAAATTAGTGCCCCTTCTCCGGAATCTTCTTCTCCGGAGGAGATTACAAGAAAGTTTGGCCTAGAAGCTGGTCTCTGGAAGGTACCCATTTCTCATTTTCGGTTCTTTAATCTGTTTTCATTTAATCTGCTCCTATTATGTGTGTGTATTTTGTTTCGAGCAAAATAAGAGAAATTTGATGCTTGGTTGTTAGGAAAAACGAACTGAGTTAAAATATTGCAGTTTTCACTGCTTGAGAGTTGAAACGCAAGGAAAACAGAAAGTGAAGTACGTCTATTGAACTGAATTTGACGCAATTATGTGACTTACAGCTTGTTTAATACAAGTATGTGACTTGGGGTTTGTTTGGTAGGGAGGAAAAATGGAACGAAAGGGGCCCAGGGGGATAAGTAGAGGGAAAGAAGGGGGGAATGAAGCCCGTTGTTTATGGGGAATCATATTCCTTTCCTCCTAACCTGGGACGAATGGAAGGAAAGGGGTTAGCTACTTTCCCAAAAAGGAAGGAAAAAAGAAAATTATTGGAGGATATGTATGGTTAAATCATGCAAGAACAATAGTTCCGTCCTTACCAGTGCGGAGGAACTTCCTCCACACCATTAGCGTAGCATTATGGTACATAATTCGTGTTGAGATGTGGTTTTCTTACTCACCGGTGAGAACACAAGTACTGCACATTACGCAATACTCTTTCATTTGTCATTTGCTTTTTGCTCAATCAGACAACACTAGGCTTTTTTCTTTTTTCTTTTTTTATTTTTTTTTGGAGTTGGAACTCACACACACTCCCTCCTCCATTGAAGTGAAATTCGAACCCTTGACGTCCCTTTAGAAAGTAGGAGCTTGTACCGCTAGGTCACAGGTCTGTTAGTCTACTTTATTTCTATTTTCACTTTCTTCCAAATTTTCTATCATAATACCAATTGCAACACTAGATTGAGTTCTTCAGTCTTTTGGCACCAAGAAAATCAGAAAACATAGTATTATGTTTTAATATATTATCCCAACCAAGCTTCCACAGCAAAACCATGTGAAGGATCACTTTCATTTTCACTAATTTTGTCGTGTATTCCATCAAGTTTTTGTTATAATTATTTGGCATTAGTAATGCAAAAATTTACTCAGAATCCTAGTTTTTAAAGCTTAGTAATTTGTTCAGTCAGATAAACAAAGAGGTTTATAAAAGCTGTATCTAGCTGCTGTATATGTCTGTTAAATTTGATTGGACACTGCAGATATTCAGCTCCAAAGAGGAAGGAAAGGAGGAAAGCGAAGGAAAGAAATCAAAGGGAAATCAAGCCAAGGAGCTCTTGACAAAATACGGAGGAGCATATCTAGCCACTTCCATTACACTCTCCTTGATCTCCTTCTCCCTCTGTTATGCATTGATCAGCGCGGGCATTGACGTCCAAGCTTTGCTGCAGAAGGTAAATGCACTCTCTTCCCCCCATGTAACCTCAATACAATAAATTCCATTTGGAGACTGAAGGTTTCTTCATCAATGGTCTGCAGGTAGGAATTTCCACTAATGAGACCGGCGAGAAAGTCGGGACGTTTGCGTTGGCGTATGCTGCACATAAGGCAGCATCTCCCATAAGATTTCCTCCAACAGTAGCTCTCACGCCCGTTGTTGCTAGATGGATTGGAAAGAGAGTCGATAAAGAGGAATAAGTTGTAGGAGTGGATCTCTTGATTCATGTTTCATATGTAATATGTTGCATCAAGACGTGGTATAGAGTCACTACTGATACTAATACCGAATAAGTTTAATAGTGATATGATTATCTTTCTTCCTTCTACTTCCAATATGTTTCAATATGACTAGAGTCACTACTGATACTAATACCGAATAGAATCACCAACTTTCTAGAGATGGAAAGAACCCATCAACTAACATTAGAAATCTACATCTATAAATAGAACATGTGAGGTTATATGATAGACATCCAAGCCTTCAAATACATTGGTGAATAGTAGACAATTTTCATAACTGACCCCATTTTCTACTCACAAAAATACAGCAAATTGATTGAGCATTTTAAGTACTTATTATCATAATGCCTTTACACCATAATAGCCAATAGCCAATAGCCAGTGCATCTCCCTCTAATTATAACATAAGATTTTACTAGTTTCCCCTGGTCATTTTCTATTTTTGGAGACACTCAACTATTTGAATAAATGCTTGAGGTCAGGATCATCCAGGTTCAGATCCAACCATCCATTTAAGCGCATGTACTCAATATAATGATCTGGTGGCTTCACTGCACGCGGATTCTTTGGAGTAAAGCCATGAATCCTCTCAAGATCCCGAGCAAGCCACTGAACGTATGCTTGGTCCAAAGGAGGCACAATCTTTAAGAGTACTTCCTTCTCTTGTTTTGCAGGCTTGTTTCCCATGTTAAGCGAGCCTGGCCACCTATTAAAAAGAAAAGTGGCAGCAGAAACACCTTCTATGAATAAACAGAAAAGAAAAGAAAAGAAACACACACACACGAGGAACTTATTCTTGGAGCTATTATCTAAATAAATTGATATTCGGCACGGTTGTTCGTGAAAAAAATATTGTTGGAGCGACATATGAATTTATGGTTTAGCAAAGCCTAAAATGCATAAGATAGAAAAGAAAATATGTTCTTAGCAAGAAGATTTGACAACGCTGCCATTGACGATTTGATGAAACCATGACTGTTGACAAGTTCACACCAAATCACTCAAACAATTTGAGAGGATGATATTTTCACTTTTTGCTGCGCTTCAACAACAAAATTTGTATAACACCCGTTTAAACTTCAATCACAATGTTTAAATGCATGCAAATTAGCCAAAGTTAATTATTTCGTGATGTAGATGATCCACAAGCAAGGGCGGATCGCCCACCCCAAAAATAATAATATATTTTTTTACTATAGGCAATTTTAGCCCAGCCCAAATAAAAAAAAAAAAAAATTATTACTAGTATTAGCACACCCAAAAAAATATTAGCCCACCCCATTAACATTTCCTCAATCCGCCCTTGCCCACAAGACTAATTCACTTTTAACTCTTTGAGATAAGATGGGTTTCTCTTATCTTAATGAGATATCTCAACTGAGCTTTATATATAAACTCCTCCTTTTTGTTAATAAAGCTTATCCTAAAAAGTATTGCAAAACTAAGGAACCCATCAAGGTGGCATCCACTCCTTTTTGTTCCAACCAATCCACAACTCTATAATTCTTCCATACCAGACAGAGAAGTGGGAAGGTAAAAAAGATGGAAAAGCAATTCATTTAGAAAGAACTAAGGAACCTTTACGTCCTTTTGCTTGGTTGAGTAACAAAGGAAAAAGGGAGAGCAGATGGATATCATATACAATTTCACTATTACAGAATTACCTCACATACGTTATTGAGAGGCAACCCTTTCTTTTACTTCCCTCCCACTTAAAATGTGTGGGCTCAGAAAAAAAAGCCCCACCTCTCTTTCTTTCCAATCACTATTTGATCCTATGAAACCAAGAAAATCTTTGCTTCCCTTCCCCTTTTCTTCCTCTCTTTCCTTCCTCCCAATATTCCCTCCTATCAAATGGATAGCTAATTTCACAACAACTTATGTGATAGGCCCACTGATGAGCTGGGAAGAAGCGTATTTAAAGAGGCTTAAGCTATTGGATGGGCTATTTAGGGATGGATTTGCATTTGAGTCTGCCTAGGCTAGCTTTAACCTAGGCAAGTGCATCTTTGGGTTGTCAATTTTTTTAATGCATAATACAAAAACACTAAAGTGTTAATTAAACAAGTAAAAGAGAATGCACAATGCATGGTTTGAGAAAAGAGGAAAACCAGGTAGAAACTTACATAGGGCATGACAAGTGCTTGGATGGGGTTGGGAGGAGATAAATGTCTTTTCTGCTATTTGGCTTTCATTGGAGTATAATATTTATAATTCACATTTTCATAAAGTGGAGAAGTGAAAAAGCCATCCAAGGCATCAAGACATAGTATCTAGAGCTATATAGTGTTTAGTGCTTGGTCTCTAATCTCTGAATTAAGAATAAATGCCTTTTAGAATATTTTAAAAAATCTTACTTATGATTGTAGTAACTTATTTTTTTTTTGATAAGTGATTGTAGTAACTTATAATCTTCAAGAATCATCATCTTCGAGCTCTTCAAAGTTTGAATCATGTTGGGTTTACTCGTTGTGTAGTCTAAGACACTTCTTCTATCAAAGAGTAAGTTATGTCCTTTTGTTCTCCAAATTTATTCTTTATGTTATTCGCTAAGGTACTTCCAGTAATGCACACAAATTTAAAGAAAAATTAATCTGACACATATAAATATCTTTTTGTTTTAGAATTTGGAGAAGTGCCCTATTTAGCATCTCATGTCCAAATGCAATACTCTTATACTGTGAGCACAAAAGGTAAGCTACAAGTCTATTGTGTCTATAAAACATGCCCAAGCCAGCAACCATCAACTCATGAAAATCAAGGCAAGCTGTCTCTCTCTCTTTCGTGGTCATACATGAGAGGGCACCAGAGGAAACTAAATCTGAACATCCTAATTGGGTTTGTTTTCAATAAATAGAATAAATAACATTGAAGTGCTTCTTTCTTTGAATTTTATGGCAGTTAAGTTGGCAAGTTTCTACAATATTTTGCATGAGGCTGTAGAGAGTTAAGGTATAATATCATTGCAAACAAGTGATTTCATGTTTTCAGTTTTCCGCTCAAGCGGTATGGAGCTGTAGCTTCACTGCCTTCATAGAAAAGCAGTTCCATTTATACACTTAATTTCTATAATTTTAATCTTTCAACTATGTAATGTCCCATGTAAGCATAATAAAATTCTTTGCAGCCAAAAGTTATGTGTTCAAGGTGCATGATATATATATATCACCAACATGGGTAAACACTAAACGATATGATTCATGTGATTGAATGTAGCATACAGGTAGGTCAAACACATACGCAAGTGTCTACTAACAGACCTTCCGGAAAAGAAAAAAAAAGTGTCTACTAACAGGTTCCATAATATAAATTTGTGGTTTCATCACAAACAACAGTTAACATATCAAAGAGAATACAGACTCATCCCAAGAACATATTAAAGTCAAAATCAACATGCCAAAGTCACAGCAATGCTCTGCTCTTAAACTCAAAGCAAACTAAACAGGACCAATACCAACTACAACTCTATAACAAGAAGTATAAAATTGGGTATAACAGCATATCAATTGTTTCATGAAAAACAGTGCCCAACTATTTAATCACAAAATAGGCACATTTCCATGAATAGATTGGCACAACCTAGAAATTGCAAGAGAATATGAAAGTTGATGAATCAAGGATATGATGTATTAATCACCAGCCTATAGATCAAGTGGTATCTCCTCCTTCCCAAGGCAAGTTTAGGTTTCAAATTACCAAAAAAAATCTTCGCCACACAAATTACCATTGTCCATTTGGTTGCTGATATAACTAAGAAACTTACAGAAATAAAATAATTCCTAATTCAATTTCAAATTAATTGCAAAATCAGAGAGGTTAATCTCCAATTGGGTGCATAATTTGATTATCTTTTCTCTCAGATCCCAAATAAGTTAAACAACACAAAATCTTTATGGTCGGTCCTATTTTTTACCGATAAATTTTCTTATATTATCTCAGCAATCAAATATATTAAAAAAACGATAAGCATTATCGACCAGCAAAGATGAGCATCTAGAAAACCAGAATCAATTTGTTCTTTCCACAACCCTAGGGAACGAGAATGAATATATAGGATGAGAAAATAAAAAGAAAATTAAGAACTCACCGATTGATTAGATGACCCACAAATCGTAGACGTAGTAGCAGTGGCGGAGAGAGAGAGTAGTTGAGTCAGAGAGATAAAGAACGGAATCGGAATCAGTCGAGACTCAATAGCATAGATAAATAGATTGGCCTCACAATACAGTACTATTTTCCTTAAATTGAACTTCACTTAAATTTATAAAGAAATAAAATAACAAAATTATCTCTCAAAGGCCCGAGAGTTGACCAAGTTGGTAAGATCACGGCCTGAAGTGTCTCAAATTTCAGGTTTGAACCTGTTCATTATCATTATAATTTTTGATTAAAATTATTATTGAGATGTGGGGCCGTCGATAGCATCCCAAATTTGTAGCCTGGGGGAGTCCCGAAAGTGTCCTACCCAGATGAGTTCCGATGCCAGCCAAAAAAAAATTCTCTCTCAAAGGTATACCATAAGTACATACATTTGGTAGCATTACGTTTTGAATTTGTAAATAGAAGAATATTTTTTAGCCATGGATTATTAGTATATCATCTCGGGGAGAAAATGTTATTGTCTATATAAAAATGTTAGTATATTTGACAGTTTTTATTTTTTATTTATTATTTATTTATTTTTATGTATGTGAGTGTTTATTGTTTACAATATATATATATATATATGATATTTTTTAAAAAAAATAATTGTTTTTATATAGTGTGTATATATATGTATTTTAAAAAAAAAAGAATTGTTTATACCCACACTATATAAAAACAATTCTTTTTTTAAAAAAAATATCATATAAGTTTTAATTTTTTTAAAAATAACCAATTAATTGATCGTTTGAAACAAGATGACTGAACTCAGAGGCCGAGTTTGATATATGGGGGCAACTTTTGACAATATCATATAAAAATTTAACCAAAATAATAAATTAAAAAATTGATAACATAGTTTCCATTACCATCTAAAAATTGTCACCATATAATCAGAATTAATTGGTGACTAATAAATTATTTTTCTAAGAATGCCTTATCCATCATTTTTTTTCTTCCTATCAATATTTTTTCTTTCTAACTAAACAAAGCTTAAATTCAAGAAAGTAGCAAAATTCCATAATAACATATTTCATTTTTTTTTCTTATGCGTTATTCTTTATATTTTATAAATCTCTCAAATTTATTAAAATAATAATAAAAAAGACTAGTCCAATGCAAAAGGTTCCAGCAAATTTTCTGAACTAATCTTGACTAATCAAGTAATAATTAAAGACATTCAAAATACAATTAATTAACATTGACACACCAATAGTTTTTTTTTTTTGGTTAAAATTTATTATTTTGGTTATATTGTCAAAAGTTGCCCCCATATTTCAGACTAGGCCTCTGAGTTCAGACACACCAATAGTATTGCCACTAATCTCCTCTCTTTTTCCTTTATTTTTTGGGTCCCACATGTGAGAAGTTGAGAACTGGATTCTCTTTCTCAACCAAAAAAAAATAAAACAAAATAAAAAATTGTGAGGTCTTTTTAACTTTGGCTTGGCAAAATGAGTCTCTATCTAAAAATTTCTTAAGAGCATACATGCATATTGAAATTTCTTAAGAGCATATATACATATTTAAATTTAATTTGCTCATTCATTCGGATTATATGATTAGTTTTATTAAGAGTTTGGTCATCATTTTTATATTTAACTTTTATTTTATTTTATTTTATTTTTTTAATATGTAGCAATAAGTTATTGCAAGATTTACCCAATTCTAACCGACTTCCGTTAAAAAGACATAATTTTTTTTTTTTTTTTTGTCTAACCCGAGGTTGACCCAAGTTAGTGTTAACCAATCCAGTCCGTGAGCTTAGCCTGGGTTCGCAATTTCTCCATGGACCATGGTCCAACCTTGCCATGGCAGTTGAACTGGGGCCGCAAGCAGTTGGTGGACATTAAGCCTGTGATGAAATGGGCTCATAATCAATGGGCTGATAGCCCGGCCTACTGCTTGGGAATAAGTATCAGCTAACTCTATGCGAGCAGCCGCGGTAATGCAGAGAATGCAACTTGCAAGCATTATCCGGAAGTCTGCAGGTGGCTTTTTAAGTCCGCCATCAAATCCCAAAGTTCAACCTTGGACAGATGGTGAAAACTACCAAGCTGAAGTACAGTAGGGGTAGAGGAAATTTTTGGTGGGTTGGTGAAATGAGTAGAGATCGGAATGAACACCAACGACATATATTTGCATTCATTCATTACGAGTTTTACATGTTTTGTCAACGACAAAAGCCTTTAGTTAAGGAACCAAACAATCCCGTGTAATTACTCAAAAGCATTTAGTAAAAATTTGATGAAAACAAATATTTTGATAAAAACAAATATTTATTTTATTATCTAATACATTAAATCTTGCTAAAAGTAAGTAAATTTAATGCATTGAAATAAATTTAATTACATTAAAATAACTTTACAATCCGAGTGTTGTTAAGCCTAGTTTGGTACGTAGGAATGGAATGAAATGGGCATTCCATTCCAACAATTTGCTTATTAGATATGACATTTAGAATGAAAACGACCATTCCGGATGAATGAAAACCTATTTCACTTCTAAACTGATCATTCTAATAAAAATGAAATTCTTGGCCGGCACCACCACCACCACAATGACAACCACTGCCTCTTGGCTCCACCATCGCTGCCGTCACCATTGGCTCCACCATCTCCTTCCACCAGCCTAGCTCCACCATCACCGCATTTCACCACTGTCACCGCCTTCTGCCGCTACCATCATCACTTAAAATTATGATTATCAATAACCAAATATAAAAATGAGAATGATCATTTTATTCCTATTCTATTCTCAACTTCATTTAATTTCATTCATGCATACTCTTAATATAGTATTATTACAAGTGTTCTCATATTTTATTGGTTTATAGTTCTTATACGCTATTAGAGAGCAAGGTAATAACGGAATGGAGATTAGAAGAACCAAAGTTGTGGAAGAAAGAAAAAGAGGAGCAAGATGGTGTTTGGGTGTTAAACAGCTAGACCTGAAAGCGACAATTCACGTGTCCAGAAGGGCACCATGTGCAACGGACGCACATAATCCAACATTAGTGTGGGGCCGGACCCAAAACCCTTTTGTCTGCTACCAGCACTAAGACTGAGACATCAGCTGGTACTGAGACATCAGCTGGTGCTGGTCCTAGTTGCCCAAAACAGCAACCTAATAGAGAGGGTCATTGCCAACAGGATCAATGCAGCCTCTTAGATAACTCCACTTTTTTTTTTTCTTTTCTTTTCTTTTTTTCTCTTTTTTTTAAAACCATACGAAGGTTGTTTTTGGTAATACAACTCAACCTTTAATTTTGAACAAGTTAAGTATTTAGATATTTATTTATTTTTTCCAGGCTACAAAAAGTCAGAGATCAGTCTCAATGGCTTGGATCAACGTAGGAGGCCATACATCTCACTGAAGATCACTACACATAGACCTGAGAGCCTGAAAAAAAGTGATCTTTCAAGAGTGCATATGATGAATCATATTTGTTTGTATGAGCCTGGAAAAATGGGCATTCCATTTGTCAAAAAAGTGAACAACTCTGTTGCAAATTCTAGGAGTCCAAAGGAACTTCCAAGAGTGCATATGATGAATCATACAAGCAATGTCCTCTACAATAAGAAAGGAAAATCCATCAACCGAATGGAGTTGCATAATGTTCTGGTTATCGCCTTCAATATCAACATTTGTGTGGCCCCACGAAGATAGAAGTTTAAGACTTTTCCTTAAAGTGAGAGCTTCAGCCACTGTTGGCGATCCCACGTTTGGACAATGCTTAGCTACTCACCAGTGAGTAGGGTGAAACTATTCACCCCTATGTGGTCCAATAATAAACTAACACATCACCTTTAATAATAAAATAATTTACACATTTTTCTACTTTTTCGGATCAAACCGTATATAGTATTTTTAGGTGTGGATTATTTTATTTTTAAATGTGATGTGTTATTTTATTATTGAGTCACATAAGGGGTGAGTAGTTTCACCTTACTCACTAGTGAGTAGCTAAGCATTATCCCCACATTTAGTATTTATTTAAGTAAGTGCATTGAATTCACTTAAATGTTGTGAAAGATTAAGTGAACATCTCAATATTGAACACGTAAAGTTTAAAATAATATAAAAAAATCTTAATTTACAATTAACACTTAAAACTTTAGTACTTAAAATTCAACTCATACTACTTATTATTTTTCATAAATCAGTACCACTCATTCTTTGTCCTTAATAGAATTTGGAAGTAGAGAACATAGTATTAAGTTTCATTTTTTAGTATTTTTTTTTTGACATACATTTTTTTTTTTTTGTAATAACACGAGCCTTTTCAAACATTTACATAGCTCATTTGTTGTCTTAAAATTCCAATGTAATTATATTACATAGCTCAATGTAATTCCAATGTCTTAGAATTGGACCAATACGAAGAAAGAAAACAAAATCTTATGCTTGTTAAAAAAAATAATAAGGAGAAGGAAAATAAATAAATAAATAAAAATAAAAATAAATAAAAAAGGAAACAAAGATAAAAAATTAACCACTTGAATAGAGTATTTAATTTCCCTATCCTATCACACACACACACACACACAATAATAAAAATAATAAATAAATAAATAAAATCCAAACAAATACCATTGTTTTATTTCCTATTCCCCTATATACCATTGTACTGACTATCGAGTCCTTGTTTCTCGTTTGGTTAGGTAGAATCAATTAGAAAAGAAAAGAAAGAGGAAATTTTTAATTTTTTTTTAGAGTTTGGATAAATAGAAAAAGAAACATAATGAAAAATTAGTTTCCATACTAGCTTTTTTTTTTTCCCAAAACATTTCCTACATAAAAACACATATTTTCGCGTGAAAACAACGTCATTTTATATGACATTCCTATTTTACTCGTTAACTTAATAGTGCAAAACAATTTCTTCTTTTATTTTTGGCAAAAGAGTAAAAAAAACTTCTAAACTATACCATTGTTGCATAATATCCCTGTGAACTATTTTTTGGAGCAACTGAATCCCTCAACTATAGAAATGTTACATATTGACCCCTCGACAACACTTTCCAACCACCGAAGGCTAATTTCCTACCAACAGAGGGACACAATTACTAATTTACCCCTTACTTATTAATTTATTATAAAAGATATAAAATATCATGGGTGTAAAATTCATATAATCACTTTTCTTTTATTTATTTATATATTTTTTCTATTCTTGTTTATTTCCATCTAACCAAACGGAGCCTTAGCATGTGCTCAAGGAATTCAGTGCATAAAGACTAGCATTAGATTGTGTACAAGACTCACATTAAGTCCTTTTTTGGGGTAATTTTTTAATTTTTTTTTTAAATGACAGCCCTTTTTCAAATCCACCATTTTTAAACCTAAATTATCTTCTATTTAAATCATCGATTCTATACTCTTAAATGCAAAATAAATCTTAGAGGAAAAAAAAAATGAAGACTTTTATACAGTGAAGTTTTACTTTTATAAGAGCTTGTCACCTCTTTTGTGAAATAGTAAAAAATCTTGTATTTTCTCTTTTCTTTTTTATGTTTATCTAGGGCAATATTATAATCGATGCCTAGCTTCAATATTAAGTTAACATGGAGTGATGGTAATGTTATTATTGACACATATAGAAGGGACGAGGTAGGTTCCAATCCCCATTCATTTGACAGAAGAATATGATAAAGGAAATGGAAAAGAACTACTTTGCAAAAGAGAAATTCTATTCTATTATTTTCCTTTTCCTTTTTCTTTTTCCCTTTTTTTTTTTTTTTTTTTTTTTTTTTTTTTTTTTTTTTTTAGGGACAAATAACATCACAAATTTACTTTGTACGTATGAGAATTTAAATCATCAATTCTCTAATTTGAGAAGTAAAATTAGAGCGCATAATAATATTAAGTACAATCCTCTATTACAAAAGAAATCAAATTGCCTTCAACCAAATTAAATGTAATAATTTTATAAACCAATTCTTTTTTGTCCAAATTTTAAGAGGTAGAGAGAAAATTTTTGTTCCAATGAGGAGGAAGTATTGGTAAATCAACAACTAAAAATTTAGACTACATGTTGGTATGAGAGGGTTCACGTAAAGAAAGCAACTACATAATGACAACTGCATGGGAAGAGAAAAGGATAGATGAAGAAGATGTACGACTTTTCTGGGGCTATGGCTGTGAGTGAAAGCTCTAGTTTTTTCAATTTGTGTGGAGTCGTGGTCTTACACAATGTATAATTTGTCTGTAGTCATGGTCTTATACAAGGACTTTGCTCCAATACATTAATCACCGAGACATTGTATAAGACGACTCCACACAAATCGATAAAACTTGAACTTTCGCTTACAAACATATAGTTGAAAAAAGTCCTAAATCTTCTTCCTTCCATGCAGTATTTAGTTAGAAAGATAGTTTTATAAATTGAGTCATCTAACAACCATCTCATACAAACCATTTGTCTGTAGAGTCCCCATTTACTTAACAAAAATAAAATAAAATAGCTTCTTAAATGAATTTTTTACAATTTTTTTTGTTAAGTAAATGTGGACTTGATTGTATTATTATTATTATTATTTTAGTGTAGGAGAGGATCCTTACCCCCATAAATAATACAAGTGTCCACTCCCAAGTAAGGTGAAGTGAACTCATGACATAAGTATGTAATTGTTACCAAATTTATCTTTTTTTCATAGTTTAACCATGCATGAGGAAATTAAGTGAAAAGTCTTTTTTAATTTTTTTATTTTTGACTAGAGAATGTAGTCTATCCCTTCAAAATGTAATGTTGGTATGTTGACTTTTTTATTATTTATGTTTGATTCCGGTCACCACTCAGAATTTTCCCAACGGCTATTGCTTGGTGACAATGAATGTCTTTGGCATTATGGCAACTTGTTTAAGTCACAGTTTTGCCTTAAAATTACAAAATTGCCCTCCCTTTCGACATCCGCAAGCTCTCACTCACATGCACACAGACAGTTGTGGCACCATGGAAGCATAAATTCATATCCCCAAAACCAAACTACATTGTCCTCATTCGCTTTAATAAATAGCAGTACCAGTTGCTCTTACTAAAGTAGAAACAAAAAGAAGAAGACCCATGGCTTCCCCTTCTTCTTTCCTCTGCTTTCTCTCTCTACTCTCTCTCCTCTCTTCATCAACCTCCACCATTACCATCCCTCTCTCCCATTTCCACACAAACCCATCTCCATCTCTAGATCCATACCAAACCCTCACCCATCTAGCCTCCACTTCCTTAACCAGAGCCCACCACCTCAAAAACCCCCCAATTGTTGCTCTCTCTACCACCCCTCACAGCTATGGAGGCTACTCCATTTCACTCAGCTTTGGCACGCCACCCCAAACCATCCCTTTTGTGATGGACACTGGCAGTGATTTCAATTGGTTTCCATGTACTCACCGTTACCTCTGCAAAAATTGTTCCTTCTCTGACCCACCTATCATTCCTTCTTTTATCCCCAAATTGTCCTCCTCCTCCAAAATTCTCGGCTGTGAAAACCCCAGATGTGGTTGGATTCACAACCCAGATGCTCGATCTCGATGCCAAGATTGCCAACCCAGTTCCAAAAATTGTACAGAGATCTGCCCGCCGTATTTGATTCTCTACGGTTCGGGCACCACCGGCGGTATCACGCTCCTCGAAACCCTAGATCTGCCGGGGAAGAAGGTGCCCGACTTCGTCGTCGGCTGTTCTCTCTTCTCTTCCCGTCAACCCGCCGGAATTTCCGGGTTCGGCCGTGGCTCTGCCTCGCTGCCGAGTCAACTCGGTCTCAAAAAGTTCTCTTATTGCCTTCTCGCCCACCAATTCGACGACAGCAGTGAAAGCAGCTTGCTTATGTTGGACGCCGAGTCAGATTCCGGCCACAAGACCGACAATGTCAGCTACACCCCGTTCGTTACAAACCCAGTGGTCGCCGAAAGACGGGCATTTTCAGTATACTATTACGTCGGGCTGAGAAAGATCACCGTCGGCGTTGAGCGAGTCAAAATTCCGTACAAGTACCTCTCGCCGGGATCTGACGGCACCGGCGGAACGATTGTAGATTCCGGCACAACTTTCACGTACATGAACAACATGGTGTTCAAGCTCGTGATTGGTTCATTTTTAAAGCAAGTCAAGAACTACAAAAGAGCATCGTACGCCGAGTCTCTGACAGGCTTGGGATTGTGTTTCAACGTCTCTGGTACCAAAACGGTGTCGTTGCCCGAGATCGTGTTCCACTTCAAGGGTGGGGCAAAAATGGCATTGCCGTTGAGCAATTATTTTGCATTCGTCGGTAATGGTGTTGTTTGTTTCACCATGGTGTCGGATGGAGTCTTGGGTCCGGAATCGTCGGGCGGGCCGTCCATTATTTTGGGGAATTTTCAGATGCAGAATTATTATGTAGAGTATGATCTTAGGAATGATAGATTAGGGTTTAGACAACAATCATGCAAATAATTTAACATGATTCAAATATATATATATATATATATATATATATATGTTATTAATAATGTGAAAAAAAGGGTTCACATTTCACTACTATATTAGTAATAACTAGAGGCAACATTCTTGTGGGCTTCGGGCATTATATTTATTTTGAGGTTGTATTGAATTTAGTTTCATGTAATAAGATTGTACGTACAATTCTGCACCGATTTTAAAGATAACATATTTTTGAGCAGCATAGAGATGAAAGTGACCCATTAGCTCTGTAACTGTAGCTCAACGACTCAATTGTCTAGTTACTTGTCTCATAGTGATGATGCCAGAGCTTACGCACACTGTTTGAATTAATTTATTCATCACTTTATATGTTTCACATGGAAATGGGGAGATATTTTTGGTCATTGATGTAAGGTCATTACTTTGGACTCATTTGGTCAGTGTTTTTACTTCATATTTTTTTTATTTTTGTTAGTGTATTGTAATGTAGCAAAAATATAAAGTATGTCTTGTAATGTTTGTTGTCATTTGAATGGTAGCAAAACGTTTTTAAAAAAGAGGCCAAACTAGAAGCATAAAAATGATGTTTTTGATAATTTCCGTAGTATAACAAAAATACTGTTAAAAAAAAAAAATTCTAAAATGAAAATTTGAATTACCTATTTAATTTTTCAAACTTGTAACACTTTTTACCAAACATGCTTTCACGTTTTTGCTTCTAAAAATCTTATAACAAATTTACCTTACCAAAGTCAAACAAGCTTTAAAATAGTGTTGAGTACTACATATTAAAACAGAAATAATACTTCTATTTCGAGTCAAAGCAAAAACACAAAGTAACCGTAATTGCCAAATGGATACTTTGTATTCATTAACTACTCTTGTGAAACTCAAATACTTTTTTTCATTTTGAAAAAAAAGAAAAAGAAAAAAAAAGGATAAATTTGTCGATTGGAGGGCCCAAATTAGGCTTCATTGAGGGTGCTTTCCATGTAACACATTCTTTAGTTGCATGTCCTAAAAAGATTAAGTGTGTTAGTTAAGGAATGAAAGTGGTTGGACAAGCCAACAACCTTGCACTAAGCAATTAATGTGATTGTTGAGGTGATATGTGAATCATGGGAAGATTGAAACACTTTATTCTGCTTTCATGTTTTTGTTTCTAAAATTTTTACAACAAATTTTTGTTACTAACAAATTTTAAAATAATGTTAAACATATTCTAAAACAAAAATACTAATTTTACTTCCGGTCAAAGCAAAAACACATAGTAAAAGCAATTGTCAAACGAACTCTTTGTATTCATTAACTACTCTCGTGAAACTCAAATACATATTTTCATTTTGGGGAAAAAAAAGAGAGGCTAAATTTGTTGATTTTTGTTAGCACAACATAATTCTTTTGTAATAATGACAAACGATTTTATTCTTATATAAGCCAAAAAAAAAAAAAAAACAAAAGCCCAATCGTTATTTGTAATTAGTTTTATACTAAAATGATTCACATTTTCACACACCTTGAGTGATCAAATTTGAAAAAAATGTTGCAAGGGGAGGGCCCAAATTAGGTTTCATTGTGACGGCTTTCCATGTAATCATATTCATTAGTTGCATGTCCTAAAAAGGTTAAGTGCGTTAGTTAACGAATGATATTGGTTGGACCAGCCAACAACCTTGCACTGAGCAATGACTGTGATTGTTGAGGTGATTTGTGAATCATGGGATGATTGAAACACTTTAACCTGCTGTTATGTTTTTGCTTTTAAAATTCTTGCAATCAATTTTTGTTATTAAACAAATTTTAAAATAGTGTTAAACGCAAAGTAAAAATACTATTCTTTTTCGAGTCAAAATAAAAACACAAAGTAAAAGTAGTTTCTAAACGAACTCTTTGTATTTATTAACTACTCTTGTGAAACTCAAATACATATTTTCATTTTGGGGAAAAAAAAATATTAAAAATAGATAAATTTGTCTATCGATTTTTGTTAGCACAATTTAATTCTCGTGTAATAATGACAAGCAATTACCTAATCATTATTTGTAATTATTCCCCCCATCCCAAAATACTTATCCATCTTTCTATTTTAGGATGTCCTAAAACATATGTCCTATTCCAAAATTGAATGAGCATTCTCAAACTATGCTTTTGACTAAATTACTGCACTAATTACGGAGTACTATTTTGTCTTTTTGTAAGGGCATATTTGAAACTTTACTCTTAGCAATATAATAAAAAACTTACTCTTAACAATATAATTAAAAAAACTAAGGTTAAGTGCCAAAAAACCCCTAAACTATTGCCCTTTTGTAAATAACCCCCCTAAATTTAAAATCGTCCCCCTGAATTATTGATTTGTTGCAATTAAGGGCAAATCCATCACAAAAGACTATTTTACCCTCTCACCCTTTCTCATTAAAATTTTCATTTCTTATTAAATTATTTTTATTATCTTTTTTCTTATGTAAATATTAATTATACTATTTACCTTAATTTTATTCTTAGTATCAAATTATCATAAAAATGAAAATAAATAGATTTATAACTACCATTTTCTAAATTGATTAACTTATTATTAAAACTTTATTATTTATAATAAAACGTGTTATAACCAATTTAAACATTTTTATCTTAGAAAATACCATTTTTTTAATACAATATATTGATGAAAAATTAATAAAATTCTTTAAAAAAAAATACCTTCTTTTCATGTAATATATTCATTAAAAATTAATTAATTTTAAAAAAAAATTTATACTAAATTTTTTTATTTAAATAATTAATTAAAAAAAGTAACGGTAAATATATGCAAATTTAATGAAAAATATCTCATCAAATTAGTATGAATTTTTTCATAATTTATTTAGATAAGAAAAATATATTAAATGTAATACAATAATAAGGGGCATTATTGTCATTTAATAAAATATAGCATAGTCCTTAAGGTATGTTGCAATAAAATGAGATAGTTTAGGAAATTTTATGTACAAAATATAGTTCAAGGGGATTATTTACAAATTCAAATATAGTTCAAAAGAGTTTTCTACACTTTATCCTAAAAAAAAAAAAAAAAAACTATTAAAACTCTACTAACATTAAAAATTGAATTTATATGTACCTTGGGACAGAGTAGTTTTATACTAAAATTATTCAAAATTAGGTTTCATTGTGACGGCTTTCCATGTAATCATATTTATTAGTTGCGTGTCCTAAAAAGGTTAAGTGTGTTAGTTAAGGAGTGAAATTCGTTGGACCAACCAACAACTTTGCACTGAGCAATTAATGTGACTTTTGAGGTGATTTGTGAATCATTTGGTGATTGAAACACTTTATAACCTCCATAGTGAGACAGAGTGAGAAGACATCCTAAATATAAAATCCAACGGAAATTGATCTAAATATTTAAAAAAGAGTTCACTGCTTTGTCAAAGAGTGCCCTAATTATATAGTATATTTTTTCTATTTAAAAATAATGGTCCTAGTTTTGGAAAAGAAATTACACCATTGAACTTGAGTTCATTTACTTTTGACAGCACTAAAGTTGGATTTATATAGAATATAGATTATGAATGAATGGTTATGGAAAGAGGGCAATGCTAAAAGGAATATTAATTTTTTTCCAGATTATTTCAGGACTGAAAAAACAAAGAGGAAAAAATACGGATATCAAACTAATAAAAAATTCAGAACCAAATCTCGGCAAGAATCAATAATCTAAAACTATTTTTCATTTTTCATATCATGACATTAGTTCATTTGTTGCCTTCTGAGCTGACAAGCCAGCAGGCATAGCTTGTGCAACTGCTTCAAAACAGAAACTCAGTAAAATGAGCTAGAAAAGTACCAAAAATCAAAATTAGTTAGTAAAAGACCCATCTTGGCAAGAAACTCACGCCACGCATATATAAATAAGCTCAAAAAAGCCGGTTTTGAGTGGGAGGAGAAGAAGATATACTTTTCGAATTACCAAAGGATCATACTTGTCAATGACCGGAATTTCTTGGATTATTTCTTGAGTTCCAATTTGGAGCAGAAGCATTCGGAACATACTGGCCTCTTCCATGGGCCTGCATTGAGGCGGTTGCAGCCAGACTATGTTGCCGAGTCTGGCTCGTATTCTCTGTTGATGAGGTCATTTGCCCTCCACCTCTACCCTGACCAATGGGACTGGCAGTTGACTGCACACACTGCCTCCACTCGTAGTTCCCATTAGACGTTGAGCCACGAGGCCCATGACCAAAGGATGCTGGATTTAACTGCATACTCTGCCTCCATTGATTGTTCCCACTAGAAGTTGAGCCATGACCTAAGGGAGTGCCAGTTGACTGCACAGTAGGCCTCCAACCATAGTTCCTAGAAGGCATTGAGCCATTTCCTGATGACCAGCTGCTAGTGTGGTTCACTGCCTGACCTCTTCCACCATTTCCTGATGACCAGCTATTGTGGTTCATTGGCTGAGCCGTTCCACGATTTCCTGATGACCAGCTATTGTGGTTCATTGGCTGAGCCGTTCCACGATTTCCTGATGACCAGCTATTGTGGTTCATTGGCTGAGCCCTTCCACCATTTCCTGATGACCAACTATTGTGGTTTACTGATTGAGCTCTTCCGTAGGTGTTGAAGCCTTGGTTGGCCTCTGCAATTTTTAAATCTCCGAAGCCATTGGGTTCACCTTGAATAGAACTCATCGCATATGTTCCCTGGAATGTACCTGACTTGAAGTTCTGCTCATGGGGTGACACAACATGATGGCCAACACGCCCTCTGGCTCCGACTGTGTCACCATATCCAAACTGTATTCTTCTAGAATTTTCGTCAAATCCTCTGAAGTCAGCGGTAGCTGTGTACTCTTTGCCTCTACCAGCACCCCAGCCTGAACCAGCACATTTGACCATCACTCCTGGAGATGAGTTTGGTGTAGAATTCGGAGTGAAATCATTTCTGTACCTTTCTTGATACTGAGGCCTGCAATTCTCAAATCTTCCTTGTCAATCTAACATCCAAGGAAAAAGAGGAAGGAAACAGAAAATTCGAAACAGATTTTCAAAATTACCCACCTATTGTTGTTGGCCCTGCTCCCATGGTATTTTTGCTGATACTGAGGTCTGCAATTCTTAATCGTCCTAGTCAATGTACTGTCCAGAAAAAAAAGAAAAAGGAAAAGAAAAGAAAAGAAAAAAGAGAAATACTGAAACAGAGTTTTGAATCTACCCACCTAATGCTGGGCCTGCTCCCCTGACTTTCATGCCAAAGCTGTGTTTCCACAATGTCAGCTGCAGTTATGGTCTGCATACATATCTTTGTAGTTAGTACATATATAAACATTGTGTTCAAGAGATCTGTTTTCAATGTCAAAGTGATTGTTTCTTTTTTATTTTTTATTTATTTATTTATTTATTTTTTTCATTTAGATTTTATGCTTAAACTGTATATATCAACAACCCTTCTCCTTCTCTTTCTTTCTTTACAATTTTTCCCCTTTTCCAATGGATTTCTAAATATATATAATTTAACACCAATGGATTGCTAAACATACTGTGGCCTTTAAGATGCCATTTTACAGACTATAACGAGGAGATTACATCAATACAATTTTTAAACATTATTAATTTATTACTGAGCTGATCGGTATAAAGCAGTAATAGACTGAAATTGACATACCTTTTGTGGGAATTCAACACCCTCAAGAGGACGAGGAATGTGTAAACATTCACGAGGCAGCTCATAGAACACAGATCTGCAACATAGAAAGGTAAGTCACTGTTCGTCTTGTTTTTAATAAAAATATAGGCTAGGAATTGTCTCGACTTACAAAACATTGTGATCCTGAATTTCATTCTCAGGACCATCAGAGTTGACAGCTAATAGCGTAGGGCGCACAAAACCATTAATTCCTTCACTGTAAAGTAGAATAAAAGAGTAAATTAGACCAAATAATGAAATTCAAAACAAAGACACCATCCTTTAGTAGACCCCATAGATTACATTTGGCAATAGAATTGATACTGTCCAAGATGATTCGATCTGATACTGCACCCTTTTTGTTTTTCTTTTTGTTTTTCCCAGTCAACGATAATGAAATTTAACAGAGTTGACAAACCTCAAACTTGTATCAATCTTGATCATCTCACTTTGCTCCTTAGCCGCTTGATTTTTATAAATGGACAGAATCTGCAAGCCCAACTTGGTTGAACTTCTCATGAACAATTGATCAACGCTTACAGTATTCCTTATCACCTCATCCTCCTAGACATTGTTATTAATCAGCGCAAATACAATACTAACAGCTTGTGAAATAATTTCAATTCTTTAACAAAAAATATAACACAGTAGACATTAGTACATTAAATTTTCACAAACAGCATTACATAATAAAACTGTATCACCTTCAAGTCCTTTTCCAGTTTCCCACTCACAGTAAGAAGACGTTCTTCCTCTATAAAAGGGAGCTTGCATATACCCTTCAAGAGAGAGAGAGAATTATGAACTGATATAAAAAAATCATTAGAAAATACATAAAAAAAATTATCAGCAAACCTGCCACATAAAACGCTTTCCATTTATATCCACATCAAAATCTGAACATAAAAGTAATACAAACAATAGAATCAATCCCTTCACAATAACCACTGACATAACCAATCCATCAAAGTAGCCCTTACACCCTTACCATTTGGATAAAAATCAATTATCGTCGAAGCCTCATCAGTCATGAGTGCTCGGTAGCCTTTAGGAAGCGCATGAGAACTATAGTGGATAATTCGAGTTTATCTTATAGCAAAATAAGAAATCAAAACCATAATTCGGATGAAGAAAAAACATCAAAAAGTTACCTCCTTGGGGGAAGGACACCCATGAGTTGATCAAAAGGTTTGAATGGTAAACCTTTCTGAAATCTCACTCTTAGTTTTCCAAGACCTTTTAGATCAGAAGCAAATGGGCCATAATGATAGGGATAGTACCTAACACGATGATTCAATTTGATCTTTCATCAGTAGATAACATGACTAACACCACAAATCAATTGATAGTTTCAATCCGTAAAATATGCCTCACCACATCCAAGATGGAACTCCACAGAAATAATATAGAAGGACCCAACATAGCCCCTCAGCGTACTTTTCAACCTACAAAGAAATACATAAAGTAATAGTGAACAAAGTCATGATCTAAACAACTAGTGAGAAGTGATTTACACTATTCAATGCAGATTATCAAATAAAAGAAAGTGTTGTAACACAATGTTTCTTATTAGTTTTCAACATCAGGAAAGATTTAGTACTATCAACTACTATGCATTACTTAGATAATTTGTACTTAATGCTACCGATAACCTCTCTCTCACACTCTGTACATACATATAATAAACTCTTTTGAGAATAAGGGTAAATGACTATTACAGAAAACTACAATTAGTAATTTGTATAGTTAAAACATACTATTGCTTTCCTTGTGCTCTCAATGTCCGCAGCGGTATCTGCAGAAAATTTTTCCTTATAGTATCTCTCTCTCCAGCCTGCTGCACCCAATTTCACCTGCGGTAAATTTTAAAGTCACATTCATCATTTTCTGCCGTGAAATAAACATTATAAAGAGTAATGGAAAATTTAAACTAGGTCATACTTTGTCCATCTTGAAACCACCATTTTTAAACACATCTGAAGTCTTGCGAAGGTTACATTTCAACTTTTCCTTCAACTCCTTTGTGTTCTTCAAAATCTGAAATAAATAAAAGTAATAAGCCAACAAAAACTACCAAGAATAACAAGAGCAAAACAGATGATTTGTCCTAACAAGACCTCAAATAAGCAAGACCTATTAATTAGGAGAGATACTGGATAAAATCATAAAAGTACCATAACATGAATGAACTGCACACAACTAATCCGATATTTCTAATGCTAGAACATGATTATTCGCTTCAAATGTTAACAAAAAGAATACTATCATACTATTTTTGTTTCCTCTATGTAGGGGAGTTATACAGAAGAACAGACACCCAAAACTACAAAGTAAAGCACAATATAAATCATAGACTCATCTCTAGAAATATAAGCATTCATACTTCATGAGTAATAAATGACCTACTTCTTCAGATGTCACATTTGTAGAATCTCCAGAAGTTGGGACTCTTCCATTATGCATTCCGCAATGGACATCCCTTGTATTGAGCTCTGAGATCCCACCTGAATTTTCTTCCTCATCACCTTTCTGGGCAAGAACACAATTTTTGCATTAGCACCAAAACTGAAGCAACAAAGAAGCTCAGGTATAAAAGGCTGAATGAGACTTTGATGTAAAATTATTATAATTTATGACACTCACGGCATCTTCAAGATCATATAGGATCCGTCTAAGTTTTCGCTCTTGCAGTTCAGATCTTTTCTTGAATATTGTCTCTTCAAATGTGCCAACTGAAAGGATGAACCTCTCAAGTCTTGACAATTTCAAATACCCTCCTTTCTTGTCATCTACCTGCATACAAGCAAAAGAGAGGTTTCAGTACCTCCATAACAATTTTATTAAAAAGGAGAGAAAAAAAATGTACAAGCAAAAGAGAGGTTTCAGTGCCTCCATCACAATTATATTAAAAAGGAGAGAAAAAAAAAAAAAAAATTACCCGTTGCATATCAACCAGATAACCTTTCAGATTCTTGAACTCTTTTTTGTAAACATGCATCAGTAAATCTATAGCACCCTGAAAGAAATCAGTACAAATGTCATAAGCTCCTCATATTAAACTCATTCATTCTTTCATACATTCTCCAAGGTGATGCAATGAAAAACCTCGTGAATTTCTAAACTTGGCATGTGGGGTAAGAAATCATTCCCGGCAAAGAAGCAAATGAAGACAAAATCATCAACAATCCGCTCAAAATCAACTTTAAAGTTCTCAGGTGGATCAGAGATTTCCATATCAAGCTCAAGATATTCTCGGAGAATCCAAACATTGAGAAACTGCAAACATAGTAGGGCATCACAATCAAATCAGGAAAACTGGACACATAATTATTCTCAAATCGTAAAGGCTAAAATGATAAAATATGTATACCTGATAAGGCTTTTTAATCAAAGACGACGTTTTATCAGCTTGTGCCTGTTTAAAGCATCCTGTTGACCTTTCTGAACTCGATTTTGCTTCACAAATGCTGGCTTCAATTGCAGATTCGTAACTTGGTGTTTGCTCTTGCACAACTACATCCTATTCAAAATAAATAAATATGTAAATAACTTGAACATTGAAAATCAACAATGGACGCCGACGGATTACAGAGAATTATTTGTGCCTCAAGACCTTCAACTTCAATTTTAGGTTTCACATGCACTGCATATTAAAAAATAATAAATGACCAGCACCGTGGCATTCACAGAAGAATCATTCTGCATTTTCACTGAAACCAGGACATTCTTCAATTGAGATGTTGCATTGCTTTGGCTAATTGACAAAGAAATGAAATTTGGGCTGAGATGAGTGGTAACCATACATGTAAAGAGCTACAGACACAGAGAATAGCACTGGTACCAAATTTTAATATCTAATATCTAGTACAAGTCCTTTTATTTAAACAATTAATCCAAAACAGAAGTAATAAGCAGAACATAATCTAAATTCACCTCTCTCAATATAGAAAAATGAATTTCATGAGTCGCCAACGCTAGCATAATCAGGTCGGCATCCTGTATGCCAATAAGTTATGGCTCAGATAAAGTGAAGAGTATATCAAAACGACAAATTTTATTTTTTAAATTTAAAATGCTCTCAAATTTCTAATTGAAATTCAAATGGCAAGAAGCAGCAGAGAGATTATCATACCAGACCATAAAGGCAGTGACGGGTATTTGGATTGTAATCTGGAGAGGTACGCTGAAGGCGTATAAAAGACATTATCTTATGTTCCCCTTCACCAGGAACATTAGCATCAGAAAGAATCACCTGACAATAAAAATTAATGTAGCATAGTAATTAAGAATTCTCATCTGTACCAATTAAATTCAAATAAGTAAAAAATGCTACATTTTTTAGTCAAGCGATGTACTAAATAATCTATTGGTTCTTCTTAAAATGTACATTTTCATAGTAGATAAGTAATTCAGTACAAATTTGCTCAACCTTTATCTCCTTCCATCCTGCATCATTGTCTATCCGTTGCCATATGTATCTTTGTAGTTCCTTCGACAATTTATACATAAATTCTGTCCCTGGTGTAATGATATTTGAATCAGAAACCTCCGATTCCTGTTTCGGAAGAACAGGCTTTCCTTCCATTTCAAATTGCTTTCTCAGCCTCTCCTCCTCTGCTTCCTGAATAGCACATTCAAGACATATATGTTTATATATAGGCGGAAAGCCAAATAGTAATCATAAAGCATAATTTTTGGTAAGTGTTGAAGAGAAGAAAACATAAAATGGTTGTTAAAACATAATTTAGAGAGATAAAAAAAAAAAAACCCACAAAATTCTCATTATCTTTCGCTGTTTTAAAGCGTCTTGATCTCTGCTGATTCATTTTTGCTCTTGGCGCAACACCATCTGCAGGAAAAATTCAAGCAGAAGATTTATAAAGGCTGTTTTTTTTACGAAATTCTACGTATGCTAGCTAAAGTAAAATCTCTCTAATTCAAGTTGCAGTGTGAGTCGTGTGACACTGCTATACATTCGAAACTAAGCTAGGTTAACTTAGATGACATTAATCCAATTTAAACTACCTTATCTAAATTGTGACATACATACATTTCAACATGCTTGTTTTCAATCATATTATTATCATACACATAAAAGCACGCATAATTACAATTAGTTAAACCCTGATTTTGGACTAAAATTATACTTCTACACATTTCATACATGTGATATATGTATATGATTAAACAATTGGATAAAGAAAACATCTTATCAAGAAAGAAAAAAAAAATGCATCAAGATAGAGATGATATCTTACCAATGGCCATGTATAACAGCTTTCTTGGTCTTACAATGTTGAAAATCCGATCAATGTATTCAAAAATGTTGTTGAATACAGCTTCAAATGTAGTTGGTGGGAAAAGCTGAATACATCAACAAAAAAACAAATAAATAAAATAAAAAAATCAGAAAATTGAGAGCCGAATAAAATCTCCTACAGATCATAAAATTATACTCTAAATAAAAAACAAATAAATTTTCTTAGATTTTTAAGGAGTACTTTTCCTTTACATTTACTCCTATCTGATTCCAATTCTAAGATGCCGATTTGGTGCTTCCAAACCCAACATAAATCTAATTCTATCTGTTTTCAGAATTTCAGAATTCTAACAATTTGACATAATTTTTTTCAGAAGAAAAAACAATTTTTTTTTCATGTACCCAAAATTTGTGTTAAATTTAAACGGGATCGTTCTAACAAAAAAAAATACTAAATTAAAAAAAAAAAGAAAAAAGAAATAGGATGATGAAGAGACATTATCATCTGGGTGAAAGCAGGGGTGGATGATTCCATTCATGTCGAGATAGAGATTATCAAACTCTATGCCATTTGGGTTTGGCGAACTTGTGTCCATGTCGTCCCCCTTTTCTTCTTTGGCGTTAACCACTACCTCTGGATACTTGTTTGCCAACCATCGGTAAAATGAAGGAACACCCATCTCTCTCTCTTTCTCTCTCTAGATTATTCTCTCTCAACTCTTTTATCTGTCACTGTAATAGCTCAGCGTGTGTGTGTGTATATAAATAGATATACAATTAAATAAGCAGGTGTTGCAGAGAGCAATACAAACGTCGCTCTTGTTCCCAAGGGCTGCGCACGTGCACAGGGCCCACAGAGAGTGAGTCACCAAATGATGAACCGTTTTTGGTTCACACAGATCGAGAGAGAGAGAGAGAGAGAGAGAGAGAGAGAGACGGTTTGTTTGTTCTGAACTGAACGTTGAGATGAAAGAGATATCTTCTTCTTCTATCGTGGCCAAAAGCATGACCAGCTTTCCTCTTTCCACTTTCTTATTGTACTGTATACGGAGTAGATAACCTTTCATTAATGCAAACCTTATCAAATGTAATCTATCTTGTCTTTTTTTCGTGGGAGGTTCACCCAAAGTCATACCTAACACAAATTTCCAAAAAAAACCAAAGAAAAAAAAAAAAAAAAAAAAAAGTCATACCTACCGTAATTTTGAATTTCTTTTTTTAATTTAAGAATGAAGATTTAAGAGCGGTCCAAAATTTACGGAAGGTATTAATTCAGTGAATTATTTGGGCATATGCAATCACTTTTGAGTTTATTCACTGTGTCAAATAAATAGAAATCATTTTTATTTAATAAAAAGTTTTGAAAAATCAGTCTAAATATTATTACTATTCTCTTTTTGACCCAAAATATATTATTAAATTTTTTTTTAAAAATTATAGATTCTCGGAAAAAAAAAAATTTGACATTTGTTTATTAATGAAAATAAAAAAAGGTAAAACTTGATAAAATAATCTTCTCTAGAGAAAAAGCTTGGAACAATTCACATCGTGAAAGTAAATATTCAAAGAGAATAAAAGTAGTGCCTCATTATGGTCGGTTCTTTATAAAAGAAAAAATAAATGGTAAAAAGATTCTAGGCATTGCAATATCACATAAAGAAAAAAAAAAGAAAAAGAAAAAGAAAAGAAGAAACAGTCGTTTTTTTTTTTTTTTGGTTGTTTGTTTCTGCCAACAGAAAAAGAAGGCTTCGAAATGCAGTAGAAGATATGCATGTGGGCCAAAAACATCCACTCGAAAAAGAATTAGAAATTGTACGGAAATGTCTTTTTAACCAAAAAGAAAAAGAAAGGTATTAAAATTTGTACGGTATTGCTTTGTTTAATGGAAAAGAAAAAGAAAGAGACTACTTTGTATATTATTATGATGCTTTGTTTAATGCTGTCTTCTTTACATGGATTTGTTTTGAGAGAGAGAGAGTATGTTTGGTTCTTCTACACTCCAAACCAAGCCCAATATGCGCCACAACGGTTTTAAACCACCAGCCCATCTAGGTCTCCGCTCAGAGCCCGAAAGTGAGGGTCCAAGTGTGTGGTACACTGGGTGAAAATCACCTCCAGGTTAAATAATATGCCATTTACTCTATTTTGAAATGAGTGGTTCAAAAATTGCCACGTTACCCATATTTGGGACGCATAGTAGGAAGATATTGGGATGCATAGTAAGAAAATGTTGGGATGCATCTTACGAAAATGTTGGGATGCACTTTTATTTACAAAAATGGAGGAAATTGATTACTGTGTAATTGGAGGTGATCCTTGTCCGTGGTACACTTAGTCACAAAGTGGGAGCAAATGCAAAAGTATGAGCATGAATGCGAAAAAAACCTAAGTGCTACTAACAAGGCCGTGAGATTGAAAAAATCTTGAGAGGCCTAAGAAAACTTAAAATGTGAGGCCTTTGAATCAATTCTTCTTCTCTCTTCTCTTTTTTCATTTTATTTTTTCTTTTTCCATACCCGATTCAAATTTTCTTGTAGACATAATTGTCAAAAAAAAAACAAAACAAAACAAAAATAAAAGTTATATAAATAAAAAAAAAAAATTGTTTTGCTGAAATAAAATATATATTACCTCAATGCAATGCAATGAATTGATCCAAGTCGATAAAATAAAATATAGATATTACCTCAATTCAATGATTTGTTTTTCTAATTGATTTGTCCGATATAAGAAACTGAAGAGTCAACAACCAAGAGTGTTCTATATTTTTTTTCAGAAAGTAAGAATGTTCTGTGTTTGGTTTGCACAGCTACTGTGATGATCATATGTATGACATATATACAAAGTATAAGAGAGATTTGACTACTTCAAGGGTAGAAAACATATAAATAAATTTTTTATTATCCAACAGGGAACAAATATATGAGGTTGTGTGCCTACTTTAAAGAAAAAGGTATAAAGAGAAAATAAAAAGTAAAAGGTATAACCAACGGGCTTGTAGCCTAACAGTATAAGGCTCCTACTTCCCAAAAAGGAATCATGGGCTAGTTGAGATCTTTTCAAGTTTTAAGTCAATTGTCTTAATTATTATTATTATTATTATTTTTTAAGTCCATCATCAATGGCTTGCAAATTTTGAAGGCCCTATAAATCTTGAGGTCCTAGGCAACCACACCTTGGTTGCCTTGGGTCAGGGCAGCCTTGGCTACAGAGTGAAAATGGGAATAAGAGTGTGCTGAGAATATAAATTTGCGTGAAACGTGAAAACAACACCGATTTAAAAGTAGGGTATCAGTTGGGTTGAGTAGGATTGATGTGATTAAGATAAATTATTTTATAGTACCGTAGTAAACAATTGTTCAAGATATTAAACATTATTTAGATACCAAAAAAAAAAAAAAAAAATGAGAGTACAACAACTAGACCTTGGATTGCCTATAGGGCGGGAAGGCAATGGGGACTGATAAGCCGGTGGCCCAAACTTATTATTCATGACAATGTTGGTAAAGCCCATCTGATGATGATGATGATGATGATGAGGATACTACATATATATATATATATATATTATATACAAAAAAGATACTCTAAAAATTCAATCTATTTATGCAATCCAAATAAAGTTTTTGAGAGACAGTTATATAATAAATTAGATAGGAAAAAATGTGAAAAATCCATTTTAACTAATGGTACATATATAGTACTTGAAATGAGACACCTTGCTAGCGAACAAAAGGCGAACTTTTTCCACCAACTCCACCAATTATTTGACTAAAATTAGCCATTTGAATAATTTTAACATGGAAATGTTGTTTTCATCTTTGTTATGAGCTCTCTTCTTGATCCGCACATAAATAGAAAACTCGTGTGCGAGGAGAAATTAATATATGATTTTAGGATCAATAAATTCGGACCGATTACAAAATTATGCATTAAGTAAATATGTCACATTTATGTTATTTTCAATAAATTTCTTACAAAGTAGCATGTTGCTTTTATTGGTAAAAATGAAATCAAAGTAGAGAATAAAAAAGTCGGAAATTTTATCTATTTTTGTCAAGTAGTACTTGAATTGAATGTCAGATGCAGTGTTTGATCTGAGCACATGAAGACGAAGTTGCAATGGACAAATCAGTGAGGAGGTGCCAAAGTAGATAATGGGTGACGATCGACCTTTCAAGGTAAGGTTCCTTAGCCAAGTAATCTCCCTCACCTCAGGTGGATTGATTGGAAGAAGATATCATCTATCATCAAGCCCTGCTGTGTACAATGTATATACACATATTATATATATATATATAGACACTCACACAAACACACATTGCCAAAATAGATAATGGGTGACGACCTTTTATTATATATATATATATATATGATGGGAATTTTTTGTGGAGAAAAGTCCTCCATCTGCATCCTCATTATAAATGAGGTTTTAAGAAAATATATTGTGAAAAAACTGAAATTTTATTCTACATAATCATTTACATATTTAGGACGACGTCTATTATGATTTGCATATATACAAAATCAAAATGAATGATACTATGATGATCAGTAGTAAGTAATTATTCTTTATTATTAATTTAAAAATAAATTATTTTTATTATAAAAAAAATTTATGAACAGATTGAATAATATTAATCCGAAGTAGTTACATAATCGACACCTCCAATAATGAATAATAACTTTTGAATCCGATGCCATTAGACGAAGTTGTGTAGTTGACTTCAACCCTTGACTTAAAACTCAAGTTTAAGCGACTAGTAGCAGCGATAAAAGTGATATGGCCAATATTACGTTGTGGTGAGTGATGTGAAAAGGACTAGTAACGGAAAGTGTCGAGACTCTTTCAAAGCACACCTAATATCCCCAGTTGAACATAATTACATTCACCTTCCAAAAATAACACATAATTATATTACACCACATAGTAGGTATAACTAAAGTTGGTGCAGAAGTTAAAAATCACTCCCTTCTTGGGATCTCTGATGAACTAACCTTTTTTGAAAGTGGGATTCCAGAAACCCTTCATTTGCCCTCAACAAACACACACACACACACATATATATTCATACCATAATGATAAATCACGTCTTCGAGATTCAAGTGTTTCAATTTTCTTGTTTTCTTTGGCATAATTTTTCTGATAATTACGTGGTGCATGTGGAATTCATCCCAACCTCGACAAAAATAAAAATGAAGTTACTTTGAACAAGGAAATAAAGTTTAACAGATTTAACATTATGTAGATTAACTTGTTAATTACACAACAAAATGCAACTGATTACTGTAAAAAAAGTTAGCAGCAACAACTAGATAGTAGCAAAGAATTTTCCTTTGTTTTTTTTTTCTTTCTCTCAAGTACTATGAACTCCATGCCAAAACAAAAGAATAGTGATTTAAGGAAATGATTTAAAAACCCTATTCGACAGTTACAAAATTTCATCACTTGACATCATTATGACATTATATAATGGGTTCATCATTTCATTGGTATAAATTGAATTTGATAATTTTAAATTATTATTCCAAACAAAATAAAAGTTCGTCTCCCTTTCCAATTTCTTTTATTTTCCAATTTCTTTTATTTTTCTTTCTATTTTTCCATCTTAGGAAACAAACTCTTTAATTGCATTTGACTGAATGGAATCATTAATTAGAAGTTGATGAAAAAGTCAATGTCTCACATTTGGATGCTAATTAATTCGCCTATTCAACTTCATATATTTGGGTAAAGGGGTAAAATAACAATTTTCGCAGTAAAACATTTTTTAATCACATGCAAAGTATTGAATCTAATTGGGGTTTGAGATAGTGTCTATACTTCCATGGAACATGATCCTAAGAACATGCTATTACAAAGAACTCTGTCCTCCAAATTTCTGGCTCCGAAATCAATGAAGTCATACACTTTCTTCTCACCAAAACCATTCTTCATTTTTCAACGAGCTTTGACCAATGCAATACCATCTCACAATCGTGCAGCTAGAATGTGCCATGCATCGGATTAATTAGAATTATCCATGGTATATATGTACCTAATATTATACATGCACGATTTTAATTTATTAGACGTACAACGCACCGAGCTCACTGAATACCTCTACGATGTCCTTGGACCTTTTTCAACATTTGAGGGTCCCAATAAAATGTATATATGCATTAAATTGATTGGATGCATTAGAAGGTAGTTCAACCATGTTCCTTCTGTCCAATGTATACGTAAGAATTAAATATTTCACCATAAAATGGACCCCACTACTCAAGAACCAATCAATTTCATACCAGTCGAACTTTCTCACCATTTAATGTTTAATAGCATAAGAAAAAATTGGGAATCGGTGTCATCCCAATTGACCTTTCTCACCATTTAATTATTACGCAAGCATAGGAACAAAATAGTCAAAAATCCACACATTAGTTCAAATGGTATCATTATCTCGAGATTGCGTTTCCGGGAACTTTCGAATATATATACATCTATATGAGTAAAAAAAAAACTGTTTTGTTTTGAGTCAAAAATGAAAAAATTAATCACAAACTCTTTCCAAAAAGGAAAAGAAAAATGCAAGAATAACAAATATCCATAGTCACTTAAAATTGCAATTTTTTTTTAATAATCTCTCCTTCCACATTATATCACCAAAACAAAATGCTACAAATAAGAACTTTAAAAAAAGCCATATAAAACCATAATAAAAACCACAGTAGTTTTAATCAGAAACCTTAGTTGAAAAAAAAAAAAAAAAAAAACAGAGCTAGAGAGAGAGAGTGAGGAGAGAGAACACTAACAGATGAGGGAGTTAACTTGTTCATACATCAACGTGACAGCTTTGTACCAACTGATACTTAATGGCCGGTCCAACAACGATACCGTTATTCCTGTTACCAAACGATATATAAGCGGGACAATTCGCATACAAGTGGTACCTCCCTGAGATAAACGTGCCCACCTTCCATCTCACCCGTCCATCAATCTTGATATTGATCAGCACCATCCCCGCCATCTCATCCTGACTCAAAGCAGCGGCCAGATATGGAGCCACAGGCACGGCATTCCCGCACAGGAACGGAGACCACACGTTGACGTCCTTGTGACCCTGGTAATTCGCCGGCACCAGCGTCGGCAGCGTGATCTGCTGGCTCCGGTACGTGGCGTAGACGTCGAGCTTGTCGTAGTAGATGCCGATGCGGCTGTTAGGGTTCCGGGAGGAGACGGTGACTTGGAGGTTGGAGGTGAGGAAGTTCGGCGGCGAGACGTTGAAGGCGTAGACTGTGGCGTCTTGGAGGATGAAGCGGGGCTTGGTGGGCCGGAGGATGGCCCAGACCAGGAAGATGATGAAGAGGACGACGATGACGAAGATTAAAAAGCACGCGAAGAGGAGGCGGTAGAGCTTCCTCCGCTCGTCGTGGTGGTGGTGGTGGCCGCAGTCTTTTGCAGTCATGTTTCACCGGCGCCGGAAAACAGTTGGCTGGGTTCGGGGAGAGAGTGTGCAAACAAATAGGTTTGTGTTTGTTTTGGTGTTGGAGAGAGAAGAGAGAGAGAGAGGGAGAGATTTCATGCAGTGGGTTCTGTTATATAGAGATGAAAAGTAGAGAGAGAAGATGTGACATTAAGAGTGAAGTACTTAAAATTTCATTAGCAAGGGTCGGAATGGTCTTTTTGTATCTACATTTACCATAAGGGCACTAGTGGGCCCCACTTTACTGAAAATTCAGTTCACCGAGCATTCTTAGCTATAGGGGGAGGTAACTTTATTATATTTACCATTTGAGCAAACACAATTAATTAGAGAGAGACAACAGTAGGCTGTGAAATACAGGACAACTGGGTTCTTATCAGTACTGCTTTTGTTTACTGGGTGAGGTCAACTTCACAGGCATCACTTTATTTATGGCGGGTATTTAATTGTCGTCCTCTGCATGTGACTTGTCCTGGGGGTACCACCATTACATTATTATTATTATTATTATTATTATTTTTTGAATAAACAAAAATGTCTTAAAAAACAATTACTATATCCCTCTCTTTTGTGTCTTTCCTTTCCTTTCCTTATAAGACATTTTATTCCCTCCCATTTCCCCCCACACACAAAATGAATTGAGCCTCTAGAATTAGAGAGTCAACCCCTACAAAAATTATCTCTTTGTACCTAAAGAAAAAAATATATATATAGAAATCATCTATTGGGTAACATAAATTCTTTCGTCTATTTTTCCTCACCAAGAAATTTTGTAGGAAAGAAGATGAAGTGGAATAATTTTGAGAAATCCTTTTCTAATCATCAATTATTTTTGTATAATTGGAATATCACATTCTTTTCCATCAACAAAGTTCATGGTGCGGTGGGGTTTGATTTAGCATTATACTTTAATAAAAGGTATGCCATTTTAACATTCCCTTGGTTAAGAACGGAAATGGAAATACAAAGATAGTAAATCAATTTTGATCATGTCTAAAACCACCTTATCTCATCTTCTTTCATAAGTGAAAGATGGATGCTTCGAGTCTCTCAAAGTACATAATGAGAGTTATTTGTCGAGAGCAAAGCAAAAACATTTCCGACAAAAAAAAAAAAAATAATAATAATAATAATAATAATAATAATAATAATGAACACTTGAGAGTACATTTGGACTAGGAAACACAAATTAAGCACTAGTGAAATAATTTTTCTCTCGCTATTGTGTTAAAGAAATAGAGAGAAGAAAGCCAATTTAAAAATACAGAAGAAAGAAATGAACAGAAGGGAAAAAGAAGATCCTACTTACCCTAAGATAATAATCTGACATTGAAAAGTTGATGTGCATTGCACGCAAGGCAAGTGGCCATTCCCAACCAACATGTATAAAAGAAAAGAAAAGAAAAGAAAAGATGCAAACACACTCTAATCTCAATGGACGCTACCAAACGGTTCATGGTATACCAGCCAACCAATCGATTGTGATGTTTTTAGGTAATAATGAAACAAGATCAGGACCTTCCAGTCCCATTCATGGTCCCACAAATGTCATAATTCTATGTTGAATTATGGATTGTGAAAACCACCATATTTAGCACTCACAGTACCATAAACCAATACACACATGCATGTTTCTAAAATGGTGGTTGTGAGCGGCTCATAGTCATAGTGGATTGTGAAAACAACCACCATACGAGTCCCACACTGTCCCTTGGCTTTGAAGGGAAACACTTGGACAACCATGCTTTTCTAAACCATCTTTTCCCCTTTTATTATTGTCCGGACCGAAGCACTCAAGTCACACAAAGCGGAAGGATCCCTTAAGAAGGATAAGGATTGTGTGACTTAGGTCACAGATCAATTTCCTTCTAATTTATCTTTCGGGTACCTCATGTAGTGTTCAACCCTCAATCATTGTCACCTCGAATTCAGTTACAAACATTATACCTGCTATAAATCAAACCACCACACTTGTATCTAGTGCATCAAAAGACTTCATAATATGCCAGATAGAGATCTCATACATAAAAATATATTTAGTTAAATAAGTTTTAGTAGTATTTTGTATTTGCATTAAACTGTCCCTTCACCAAAATCTTTTTGTGCAGGAAAGAGTAAAGAAAAGAGTGAGACAGGCTATGATTTCCCAAAGGAACAAATGCAACTATGAAAAAGAGCCAGGTATGTAATATTAGCTTGTACAAATCTCACTCAATCATCAAGTTGACATTTATACAACACCTGAAAGAACCATCAGATTTGTGAGCACAAATACACAGCAATACTGTTTCTAGTGTCAATCCACATTCACAAACCTCAGAATAATTAATCACTCTCTCTCACACCCAGTGTTGAAAGGACAAAAGAAGGTAGAAAACAAACTCAAGAGGCAGCAAATTGTAGATAGAATCCAAGCTGTTCTTGTGGAAGTAAAGTTGGGTTCCACCACAGAATATTGTCATAGAGCTTTTACTTGCATATTCAAAGCTACAAATGATGTATCAACAACATCAACAATTTGGATCTTAAGACCTATTTGAAACTAAATTCAATGAAATTGAAGTTCCATTAAATGAGTAGGCATAAACACGCAATGGATCACGAGATGGATACCATTCCCACCTTTGCAAACATGGGTAGGACCAAAATGAAGTTTCCTTCACCTCTTATTCTTTTGGAAAGGTGGGTCAAGGCCTTTTGAAGCCACACAAGCTAAGGATATCCCTTAACAAAGAGATCACCCCTCTTCTTCCTTCGAAAAGAGATGCTTTAATACACGATCCTAAGAAATTTTGGTTTTCTTTTAAATTTTCCAATGTTCCTTCCCAAAACCTATCTCAAAGCCCCCGCATGTTATAATCTTGTACTCAAGTGACACACAGACCTTTGAAACTTGTAATTATGTTTTGCATTAACCTTAAATGTGATACTCCTCTTCAACAAACAACCTTGGTCAGACATATAATGCCAAAGTGGAGGGAATAAAGAAAAAAATTAAAAGTTTAATACTTTCCTTGGGATATTCTAAAGGTAGAAAACTAAAATAAAAAAGAAAGGGACCTGATATAGAGGAATAAAGGAATCCTTTCAAACTCAAGAATAAAGAACCACTACAACTTATACTTTCTTCGAACTAGAGATTGTTATCAGAGCCTTTAAAAAAGAAACGAAGTTAGATCACAATGCAAATGTTTCATCATAGAGAGCAAGTTTCAAGTTTCATTTTATAAGGTTCTAATTACAATTTAGTGGTATTAGATTATTAGTAGCATAAATATGTCAATTCTCAAAAATAACACTCTTAATTATCTAATCTTTTAGGTCTCAATCAATTTGGAGCCACTTGAAACTTCACCTGCTAATTTTGGAAGAAGCCTTCCATTTCTTTTCGCTGACAAAGAACCAGGTAACTCCTAAATTTAGAAGTAATATTTTGGAAAACTATTCAAGTATTAGGTCCTTTTTTCCCATCTTTTTGACGGCCAATATTAAAACTGCAAAGCAAAAACAGCACAGCTGTAAAAGGAAAAAAAAGATGATGAAAAACAAGAAAATATAAAAGATGCATTCAAGCAAGTGGAAAAGTATGGTAATCAGTTGAAAAATGCTATAGAATGTCATGGAGATAAAAGAGGTGTTAACTACCATCTACTCCAAAAGCTTAAGCTCTTAGAGAGGGTGTAACTTAAATATATAAATCCTTCAACCCCCCTCACGTGTGGCATTCTTTTGGTCCAACATGTGTGTCAATTTTAATTATCAGGGTGACGGTGAGGTTTAAACACGAGACATTTGGCTCTAATAGCATGTTAACTACCATCTAATCCAAAAGCTTAAGCTCTTAGAGAGGGTGTAACTTAAATATATAAATCCTTCAACAAGAGGGAACAAAGCCTAAAAAATATTTTCCTAAATTTTAAAGAGCACAGTTATCAAAGGAATGAACTGATGAAAAACAAGATAATATAGAAGATGCATTCAAGCGAGTGGTAAACCATCACAATTATTTAAAAAATGCCATAGAATGTCAGGGAGATAAAAGAGGCAAAAACAACCAAAAATATATTTTCCTAAACTTCAAAGAGGCTCTCTGTTCACTATGGAACTAGCAAGCACAAAACAAAATGTGGTACAATACGGCATATACTATAACCAAAATATCTACAGTCTATGGAAGGACAAAAGCTAAAAATATAAATCTCTACTGTATAATTACAGTCTAGTAATCTATTTAGTCCATTCTCCGGTATAGGTTAGACTCGTGCAGCTCATGCGTACGGGTCACATCTTGATCTCCATCACATAAACTTATATCCAAAATCAACTATAAAGTTAAGACTCCAAAACCACAACTATTGGTTTAACTCCCATTGTAACATCATCCAACAAATATAAAAGGTGAGTCAAATGATACAATAACCTTTTACCAAAGTACAGACCCAGTACTAGCTGGTCTGATGGTCCAAGATATCCTTCCTTCGTTGATCTGCATGTCATTTCACTTCACCTATGGGACTATGACATTACTTGCATTAATTTCTATGTAAAGAAGAAAAAAGAAAAAAGAAAAAAGAAAAAATTATAGCCCTTAAAGCTCCCATTTAGAACATCTAATGTAAATCATCTCTAATTTGACCATACGAGAGCAAGGTCATCTCATCTGCATTTCTAAATTTCTCAATGGCAGATGATGTGCAAATTCATGTTTTTTGGACATTTTTAACTGTCAAAGACACGTCAGAACACTTAAAACAAGCTTAATCTAAATGGAGGGTAACATATAAAGAAGTTTGCTTGACAGCACAACTAATAATGTTCATTAAAGTACCTTATTTAGACTCATTTACAATCGAAAGTCTCCAACTAAATATAGAATCAAAAGATTCATGATAATATCCCTTCATGATGTATTTTAATACAATTTTTTGGCTGATAAAGGGACCAAATGGTACAGTTCATTTGTTGGTAGATTGGAGGAATACGGTTTCCAAACTTTTAGCGCCAGCTCTTCAATCGTAACGTCATGGACATGTGGTTTGTCCCCTTTTCAACATTTTTCACACAACTTAATAAACAAGTTACACAAAGTTTGCAAAATATGTTCTAACAAAGTTCTTCAGGTCATTAGGTTTTGCAACCATGCCAAAAAAGTTCAGATATTGATGTCTGGATATAAGACCTACTTTTCTTAATACACAACAGACATGTTTAAGCATTAGATCCTCAAGACCTCCAAACCGAGGGATACGATAATATGGCTAAAGCATCAAACTGACAAAAAGATGGATTAGGATATTGTGAGAAGTATATTACTTTTGGGTCTTTTCTATAACTACAGCAATTTAAGCTGTAGAATTCAAATTTAGTTATAAAAGATAAAGAGAGGTTTAATGCAAAATCGTGAAATATAGAATTAGATTTCAATAAATTGAAAACAAACTACTACAACAAGCTATTACAGCCGTAAAGACAATATTTCATGAAAAGGTATATAGTTTTATAGACTTCTACCTCTTCCTCTTTATATATATATATATATATATAACCAACCATGTCCAAGGCATGTTCAAATATCATGTCAAGTCAATTTAGGTATCTGGGTAGTGGCAAGTCCAAGAAAAATGGGAAATAAAAGAAACTAAAACATGAAATTTCTTACAACTTCATGCTTATAAAATTCAAATCTCATATTTTTCTCAAAATTAGAAACCAATTCCTACCTATTTACAAACGTCAGCTCTTTAGGAACTATTCAGATTGCACCACGAAAATTAGAAAAACAATAACAGTACTATATCCGGCCAAATTTGCATTGAGTAAATACAAGGAATTTAGAACGTATTTGGACATGCAATAGAAATTGAATGGCCATATCATGCTCCATAAAGCATCTTAAAGAATCCATCTTACTGAATAAAGCCACTATGTAGGGCCAAAAGGAAAAAAAAAAACCTATAACACAACCTTAGTAAAAACGCAAAGACACAAGTATAATAAAAGATTCCAGTCTTAAGCATGAAAAAATAAATATTTGGAGAGGATCACAATGCCCCTACAATCTCGTAAAGCAGAGTGACATTTCTGACCCCAGGTTATGTTTCCAAGTCATCAAATTTCTTCATCCGCACATCATTATCAAGTGAGGAAAATATGAGAACACATGAAACAACCAAAATACAGAGTTTTACAAAGCCCTTTAGAATCCAATCTCTCAGCCTAGTATTCTCTAAACATGACCCAGTATTAATTAGTCCTGAATGCTCGAGAGGCCATTACACTAGGGCGAACCCCATCTCTTTACCCTTTTTCTTCAATAAAGAACAATGCTCGAGGATAAAGACTGAAATTGCACATAGAAGCACAATTTTCTAGGACAAGGTCCAATGAATTTGGTATAATGGAGGAGTAGACCTCAAGAAGAGTACCCAAATCTGCATAGTACAATAGCATCTTGCATATTGTTCCCAATCACCTTAAGGAAAACAACTAAATTATTAAATTGCACCAAATATATAGTTTGCCAAGAAGAGAGTCAATTGTTCCGGTTGCATTAAGTAAGCAACAAATATTGTAGGGCATATTTTTTGGAAGCTAATTACAAATTAAACTGTCCTAATTTTACGGTGACATCCCATGGTTGAAATTCATCATCTTGAATTAAGCTGTTAAGGGTTACGGTTTGCCATGAGTAGTTATTAAATCTCCAGATTTCTACCCTAGATATAAGACACATATTTGATGCACGCAGAACAGATAAAATACAAATCAAACACAATGGACAACTTGGCACAAACAAACATATATAACAAACAAAAAGGTTACAGGGTCTAAATCAACAAAATCTAAAGCCTTGTGCATTCATATTTTACTGAAGCATAACATGGTTTATAGAACTATCTATGGTAACATAATTTGTCATTCTGAAGAGAAAAGACAGAGCATAAAATACCTAAAATTACTCACAAATCAACCCTGCACTGTCTTGGACCATCGGTTAATTTCCCTGCAGCACTATTGGATGTAATCCCGACATGCAAGTCCTTGCAATAAACCCTCAAGAACCGCCTTCTAGCACGCCACGCACCGGCCTTAAACCTAACCCTAGCATACAACCCAAAATTGAACCTCACACTCCCACTCGTCCGCTCCTGATTGATATCGTTCACGACCCAACCGCTGACGTAAGTCGACGCCGCCGCAAACGTGGCCCTCGCGGCCGTCTCATTCTTGGTGCCCTGATCGAACGGTGGGAGGGTTGTCGTGGCCAGAGTATCCGATTTGTGCAACACCGACGCCTCGATGTGGTCGTAGTAGAGATTGATCTTGTGGTTAGGGTTTCTGACCGTGAAACCCACGTCCCAATTTCCGGAGATGAGAGACGCGTTGACACTAAAGTTTGAGAGAGAGACTGAATCGACTCGGAACTCGGGGATGCGGGGGCGGAGGACGAGCCATACGATGAAGATGACGGTGCCGGTGATGATGAAGAGGGCGATGATGACAGCGAAGAGGCGGCGGAAGATGGTGGCGCGTTGGTTGTTGTACGGCCGGGAGGGGTAGTAGGGGTTGGGGTTGTAGTAGTTGGATTGAGGCGGTGGAGCGGCGTAAGGGTAGGCTGTGCCGGTGGTGGTGTAGGTAGGATGCGGCCGGGGGTGACCGTTGGGGTTGGGGTTGGTGTTAGATTGCGCAGGGGGGTAAGCTGCCGCCGGGTAGCCTGTGACAGGTCTCGACGGATCTTCCATAGAAGAAAGTAATTGGATTTTGGTAGTGTTTGCTTGGACTGCTTTAAGTAAACAAAGACACGCCTAAATATTACCGACTCATACAATACAATCCTCTGGTCACGCGTCTTTCTGTGTCTTTTTTACGTATTTATTTATTTTTGTAGTTATCTTTCAACAAATAAATGACACGGGACGATATCGCAAGTTTTTTAAAAAATAAGGTATGAGTTATGGATATGTAAAAAATAGAAATCTTCAAAATCTGTCATTATTACGTTCATACCGCGTTTCAGTTAGAGAATAAAATATTTAAATTTCACAATACTTTTAATTTGTCATTATTATGTTCATACGGTGTCTCAATTAGAAAATAAAATATTTAAATTTGAGAACACCTTTAATATGTTATTATTACGTTCATACCGTGTCTCAATTAAATAATAAAATATTTAAATTTCAGAACACTTTTAACCATATTCAATACGTTTTCAAATCGTATCAGAATGTCATACTGCTGTAATATTCCAAAATGTCCATACTACATGGGTAAAAGCTCTTCAACTACAAACTTTTAAGGAATTAGTTCTAGCAGCATTTAGAAATACATGTGTTGTTCCATCTGGTATAAACTTTAGTTAGTGTGTAAGGAATAAGTTCTAGCAGCATTAAATTTAGGAATCAGTAATAATAGGCAGATAGTAGTGTTGTAACAGACTATAAAAAATAAATTGGAACCTACTTAGCATAGTCTCACTCTCACATAAAAATATAATATATATATATATATATATATATATATATTATTGTAATTAAATTAATATCATAAAGTAAATTTTATAATTAAAATTTATCAAGAGTTTACAAAATTCAATAGCCACTTGAACCACCAGAATAAAAAGTATCAGGTAAATCATTGTCATAATAACTTGTTGTCTACCCTATTTTTTATTTGTAGAGTTGAAACTAATATGAGACATTTTACCAAAAGAAAAAAGACAAGGAATGCAATATTAAACTTTGAAATTTTATTTTCTTACATTCTTAGATGCAAAATCTTTAATTAAACTTTCAAAATCAAGCTTTTCTAAAAGTTCATTTTCAATTGAAATCAAAGTTAGTCCATTTAATCCTTTTAGTGATCGACATGGTCGATCGCAAATAAGATTTTAATAACTTCAATTTTGAAAAACTTCTTCCTACAGAAGCAACGGTATAAGGAATAGTCAATAATATTCTATATACAACGCATCATGCATGCATTTGAAAAACATTTCATTCTTTTCAAAAAAATTAATATTGAACTCGCTGTCATTTTTTCTTTTGGTAAAATGTTTTTTAAGAGTTTCAATTCTGCAAATAAATCATTCCCATCAACATAAAAAAAAAATTTTAAATTGACATTTTTCAGATTGCTTACAAGATGAAAGCAACAAGTCTTCAAATTATCATCATCCAATAAGTTGAATTTATCTGCATTCACATATTCCCCCACAATATTTTTATCATCATTCAACTCCTTAACATCATTTTGTAGTTCATTAATTGAAGATTGTGGTTCTCTAACCGTGAATCTACCAAGTGCTCAAATTTCAAAAAAAAAAAAAAAAAAAAAAAAAAGAAGAAGAAAGAAAAATCTACCAAGTGCTCCTCAAATTTTCTCTTTTTTAGGCGTTGTGCATATCCTTAAGTATAGTTTCTAGTGGGAGCAATTTTAATAGTACAAGAAAAGTTTCAAGAGTCAGAAAAATAGAACCTGGAAAGCTAGAGGTGAAACCAATTTGATTGCTTAACTTCCTCACTGCTCGGGTGCTCCTACAGGCTTGCAACCTTGCTACATCAAATCAGCTTGAATGCTAGATTTATAAACACCTTGAACACATAGGCAATGGATCGAACTGTATATGATCAATACAACAGAAAATTAGTCTCTCTCTCTCTCTCTCACACACACACACACACACACGCACGCACATATATACATATATATATATATATAAATTATCAAACATTTAAACTAATGCTTGATTCGCAATTTTGCAAAGCATAAAGTTTAATTTTCAATACAACATAAAATTAATCATATATATATTAAATTATATATATATATATATATATATATATATATATATATATATATAAACATTATTGTCTAGCACAAAACAATTATCAAGCTAATGCTTCAAATTATAGGGAAATTATATATTAGTACATAAAAAAAATAATTAAAAATAACAAAAAAGAAAAAAGGAAATTTACCATTGCCCAATGACCCCTAATCAATGGAAAAGGGATTTTTCCCTTTTTGGTCTATAATCGCTATCGGTCTATTGGTAAATCAACCGTGTGTTGGGTATAAATTTTGACTTCTCTCCCCTCTTTAGATTAAAATAGTACTCCCTCCGTCCCACTTTAATTATCGGGACTCCTCTATTCAAATTAGGCCTAAGTTTATAAATAAATAAATACAAGTGGGCTTACTCAATTGGGCTGTATGAGCTACATTAAAAAGAAGCTAGATTAAGCTGTATTATCCTCCACTCAGATTGTGCCTAAGTTTATACAAATAATAATAATAATAAGTTACAAGTGGGTTATATTAAAAAGAAATTGTATTTACATGAGGCCTTCGACAACTGAGCTGTAATTCATTTTATAAATAAAATCTTTTTCATAGTATATATACTATATATATGGGCTCAAAATTTTTTTTGGGGCACTCCAAAATTGGGGGTCTGTGTGGTGGCACCACCCACACCACTCAAGGATCAGCCCTAAACACGGATATGGATACGACACAATATAGATACGTTGACATCCAAAATTTTAAAAAAGTATGACATGGATACAACTTAGACACGGCTATATATAAATATGAATTTTTATTTATATACATGTATTGAGTAATAGTATTATAGAACTTTAATTCATTTCTAATTTTTATAGTAAAAATTGTAATGACTTTTATATTATATATACGGTTATTCCACTACTTTATCATAATAGTATTTTTATTTTTAATAAACAAATATCATTTATTGCTTTGCTAGTGATCATATGTGTATAATGTCAATTTTTCTTAAAGAAAAAAGTTGAATACTCTACAATGTGTTTATATTATTTTCAAGATTACTAGATAGGTGTGTGTTTGAAATGTTTGAAATTGTCTGCTTAAGTGTCTAAGAAGTATCAGCGAAATGTCCGAAAGTGTCGGGAAAATGTACAAAATAATAAAAATTTATTTTTATTTACGACATGTATATGAAGTGTTCGAGGAGTGTCTGTCGGATATGATACGGGTACGGCTCATTCATAAAAGTGTCCGTATTTCATAGGTTTTGACAATGTGCAGTGTGGGAGTCTAATAGTATAAATGAATTTAATAGTTGATTTGGTTTCAATTTAAAAAAATGTAATAACCCTCGCCCTAACCAAATACAAAATTGTCCGTTTTTGGCTCTCTGGACAAGGGACTTTCCAAGGGTTACCCATCCTGGTATTACTCCAGGTTAAACACACTTAACTATTAACTCCAAAGTTCTGATGGATTCACGGCTTAAAAAAGTGTTATATCATTATGTCATAGAAATGTGTTGAATCTACATATAACAATTGCCTCTTTCACACATAGGCAATGTGGGATTGTGCCCAGATGATGTGGAATTGTGCACATGTAACTCGCCTAGTGTGGTAGCCTACTGGTGTCACTTGCACACACTCACACACACTCGCCCACAAGGTTGCCACAATCAACCCCCTTTGGGGCCTAATGTCCTCATTGGCCATACTTCCGATTGGGTTAGGCTCTGATACTATTTGTAATAACCCTCACTCTAACTAGATACAATATTGTCCGCTTTTGGCTCCTTTGGATTAGATACTTCCCAGGGGGTCACCCATCCTAATACTACTCTAGGTTAAGCATGCTTAATTTTAGAGTTCTAATTGATTCACGACCATCACAGGTTTGAAATGCGTTGTGTCATAGAAGGGTGTTGAATTTACATATATCATTTTCCCTTTCCACACCCAGGAGATGTGGGATTGTACATCTGTAGAGCATACTGGTGCCACATGCACATGCTCACACATACCTGCCCACAAGGTCACTGCAAAAAATGTAGATATTAAATTTTAAAATAACGATTTGAAGTTCGACAATTCTGACTGATTTATGTGATTAAGGATGTCATAAAATTATTCAATTTTAGCCAACTGTCCTATCATTATTTTAAATTTGAATCTTTTTCAAAAAAAGGCAAGTAAGTTTTAAATTTGATTAGGAAGTTGGAATTTGATTAAAAAAGAACTGCATGATTTATACTATTGTGGATCTATAATGTATATCTATAAATCTATAGATCAATAAACTATTATAAAAATGTAAGTCCCTCTCTTAATTTTTTAACATTTTTTTAAATACAAAATTAAAGTTTTAATGAATTATATATATGTTATCATTCTATTAGATGAGTTACAAATTTTGGAATGCCTACTTAATAGAGTTATAAATACCTAATTGAAAATCCTTAAAATAAGAGTATTAAACATTTAAAGGAAAAATGGTAAAAAAAAGGAGTTTATCTGTTAACTTGAAACTCATGACTTGCAAATGATTGTTCTTTAATCTTTATTCCAATAATCTCTCTATCTCTACAATGATCGCAACTTCTTTTCAACACCTTTAATATATCAGGTAATTATAATTCTGAATTTGCTTGTTTTCAAATTCAAAGTTTTTGTTTGATTTTTGTTTGTTTCGTTAAATATCTTTTGTTTTACTATATTAGAATTCTTATGTTCATGTAAAATTATCAAGCAAACCACGTTCTATTTTCCCTATTTCAATTGCCTAAAGCAGATGGGAACCGATTAAGAGAAGTATTGGAACATGAACTTGCGTGTATTGAGCGCTGATCGAAGGGATTTAGCGTAAGTCGTACCAATGAGATTAGTAGTAGCTTCTATAATGTTTGGACAAAGATTTTAAATTGGTAATGTACATTTTGTAATAGGATAAAGATTCTTTGCACCCATCCTTGTAATTTCTTTTCATTTTCTTCTTCTTTTGAGGTTTTGCCATCATATTACGTTTAATAATTTGTTAAAAATCAACTTTATTTGTCGTGAAACTTGATAAGAATAAATTTTTTTTCTTTTTTTTTTTTTTTCTTGTTTTTTTCTTTCCTTTTTCTAAATCCTCGTCCGAGAACTTGTCTAGAAAAGATTAGTGAGACAAAGTGTTGGAGCGAAGTCCTTAGCATGAAAAAATGATCAAAATTTGTGAAATGAGAAAAAGACCTTGCACTTTATGATAGTACCAAATTATCATTATTTTCTTATCAATAGTGCTACCATGAGAAATCATTTTTAAAATTAACATTCACAGTCTTCTTTTAATTTGCAGGAAGAATGGAAATCTTCTACATCCAAGTAAATGAATATATGTTAATCTTGTCCAGAAAGCAGCCAAGATTGTAAATGGTATGTTTTGAAGTTTTATTTATTTATTTTTGTTCTTTCCAATATTTTTTTAAAATATTTTATTTATTACTTAACTTTTCTTTAGGTTCGTGAAGTCAATATTTACTTGTTATTTATAGAGTGAATATATATGTTTTTCGGTATTTTTTTTTTAAAATCTAAAATTCATTTATAATATAAAATATTTATTTTACCACGTGCATCACACAGGGGAATTACACTTGTAATTCTAAAAGTAATAAAGTATAATAGGGTTGTGAACATCCTATAGATTTGTAGGTATATGAGAATAAAAAATAGAGGAGAGAAAAAGAAAAAAGTGAGAAGTCATACAAGTTTGTGATATATGAGAGAACAAAAATCATAAATTTAGAGTAAATTTATATTTATTTTGTGAAAAAAGTTGATTAGGAATAAAAAAAACTTTGAACCTTGATCACACTACTGATCCATCGCATCTTCTGTGAACATTGCGGCTAACGGCTTGTTTTATGTTGGTTTCGGCCTGGAGGCATTATAGTGGGCCTTTGCTCATCCTTTCTGTTTATGAGCTTTGGGTCTTAGCCCAGCCATTGTATGTCTCTTGTCCGTTTTATAAAATTTTAATTACTGAGACAAAACAAACAAAAAAAAAAACAAACAACTATGAGCAGTGTTAGACTTCACCCAAAAAAAAATAAAAAAAAAAATTCAAGATTGTATTGGTAAATAATCTCTCCATCAAAGTCACTATTTCCTCTTTTTTAGACTAGTTACTCTCTCAAAATTTTATTTCTAAAAGTATACGAGATCCATATTTTTCTTCCACCATAGTCATCACAAACGTCAACATTGAAGGCCATCAAAGTAGTCATCCTCTAAAATGCATCAAACAATTATACGTGACTAATTTTGTTTATAGATGCTTAAAATATTTTTTGAGTAATCATCCATAATCTCAAGTCCTAACTTTAAAATATTTTTTGAGTAATTATCCACAATGTGGGTTGCAAAAGCAAGTTTAAAAAAGAAATTGATGTACTCAAGCCAATGGGTTAACTGGGGTTCGATCCGGAGGTTTTCAAGAAAAGAGAAGAGAGACAGAAGAAAGAGAAAAAAAAAAAAAGGAAAGTGAAAGAGAGTTTCTCAGTAAATAAACTGGAAGTAATGAAAATATAATTAAAAAATTTCAAATTGAGATTTTAATTGATTTGGAACAAATTTTGAAGTCCTAAATTTGATTAATTCGGAAGTTTGATTTTTGAAGTGGAATGAGAAAGATCAGTGGAAATAGGCACATGTTTGTTTTATGGACATTTACGAATGCGCGTAAGTTGCCCTGTTTAAGCAAACTTAAAGAAAAAGTAATATTCCGTAATTCATATAAAAAGATCTCCAATCAATTTTAAACCACAAATTAGGTGATTTCGAGAGAAATACGGGAGAGAGCTTTGTGAATTTTTTTGAAAAAAAAAAGTCTATAAAGGGAAATGGGGCACCATTTATGCTTCGGACCTAGCATTTATAATTGTAGTGTCTGGCCAATTTTATTTTACAAGAAATTCACGTACATTATTTTGTTTCTTTGGATATTCAAATTCTCACCATCCATTCTAAAATGTAAAAGAGATATCACCATATCACAAGATTCTTTGTAATTATAGTATCGGATTTGCAAAACATGCATTTTTAGTTTTACTTTTATATAGCTCTTTTACTAAAGTTTTTTTCTTGGTCTTTTGGTTTTATGGGCTTTTATTTGGTCTTTGTCATAGGCTGCCCTCCTTTGGTCTTTGTCATATGCTGCGCAAGGATTTGGTGAAGAGATAAAGGCAAGAGCAATGGAAGGAAGTTAGGGTTTGAAGGAGGAGCAAAAAGGAAAGGAGTAGTAAAAGAAAAAAGGAAGGAAACATTAGGGTTTGGTGGAAGAGAGAAAAGGCAACTTGCCATTGAAGGAAGCAAGAGTTCGTGGTTGGAGGTAGAGAGAAAAAGGAAAGAATAATGTTTTTTCAGGTGAAGAGGAAGAATAATGATTATTATTATTTTTTTAAGGCCTCTAGCAAATAAACATATATAAAATCGCATTTCTTCTCATGGAGGGGTACTGGTTTGCTATATAATTGCATACATGTGCTATATAGGTAAATTGGAACATTCACTAGGCAGATATTTATGAAATATCCCGTCAACAATTGAGAAATATATATATATTAAAAAAACCCTTTTTTCTTCGTACAGGAAATCAATAATGATGGTAAAGTAATATCTCTCTCGCTACTTAATATGATGGACCTTGCATTTTCTGGGCGTACCCAACATTGTGCCTGTTGTTGTTGCGTTATTAGAAAATCCCACATTCACATCCTCGCAAGTCACCATTGTCTTAGGGAAAAAGTTTTCATCCTTAAAAATACCATCTATGACCATGGTGAAATTTAGAACCCCATTTGACCTATCAAGCTCAATGGCTTTCGCGACCTCTTCGGTCACAGACACCGAGCAGGATGGGCAAGTACTGTTGCTCACCATTAATACGAGCCGTTGTTTGCGGCGCTCATAGGAAATCCAGATAGGCATGAACGACAGCTTAACCTCTGTGTAGAATACTGAAACCTCGGGTTGATCGCAATAGTATAACATATTCAACTTGAAATACAATTGGATGTTCCAGTTTGCAGTTACTGTGTGCAAGGCCGAGACGTTGAATGTGGAGACTGAAACTGACTCAACTCGCAACTTTGGAGGGAAAAGTGGAGGGATGACATTAACAATAATTAAAAGGGAGACAATAACAGTGATGGAGTAAGCCAGTGCAAACCAATGCGCCTTTGTCGTCCAACAACGGGTTCCACGGTGGTGGTTGTGAGTGTGGGTGGGGATGGGTGAGGCTTGCACCGCCAAAGGGTAAGCCGGGAGAGTGTTGGCGGCCGCACTGTGGTGGCTAAGTTGTGCATTAGGACTTTTGTAACGATTATATAGGGTGTGCAGGAAAACACTAGGAAGATACATGTACCTGTTGAAAACAAATATAATATATTAACAAGGCTTCTCTCCTTACATTCCCAAAAAGAAAGGGAAAAAAAAAAAAAAAAAAAAGGAAAAAAAAGAAAGAAAAGAGATAAAACTAGATTTTAGTAACCAAACATAAATAAAATTGTCCTGACCGCGGGAAAGTTTCAAAATTAAAGACTAAAGACTTTTACAAATTTATAGGCAATTATCCTAAGTTACACAAAGCGAGAACATGAACGGGAATATGAATGGGAGCTAGCGTTAGCGTGAAAGTGACAAAATTAAGTCTCAAATAGTGGCAATGGAAGTAAAAACACGTTCGGAGTATGAGAGCGGGAACACGCTTAGAACATGAGAGCGAGAAAAATTGTGTGACTTAGGAATTATACCTATGTTTACATATCATAGAGATATTTATTACTCGCGACCCTTTCGATTATAAATAAAAGAAGTTTGAGAGTCAGAAATAAGGAAAAGAAGGACGACCCTAGGCCTAATGGCCAATTTTTTTTTTAAACATGCTTATAAAGTATGTACAATTGATTTCCATAAGCAGCTTTCCTGATCCGAAGAAAGACTGGATAACAGTATTAATATAAGCACCTATAATATAAAATAACACTAGGTTACATACAGTCCATGGTATTTTATGAATTTTCTTTTTTCTCTTTTTAGTTCAGGATTTTGCTTGCGAGCTTGACTGTACTAATATATATAGCATTATAGGGCGTAAGGCCTCACATTTTGTATGGTTCAAGCATAAAATCCTCAAACATAGCTTTAACGTACTTATGACTTACAAACTAATCCCACACAGTTTTCACTATGTCTTGCAAATTATGAGAGAGGATGGATGGGATTGTTTACTTGATCAAGTTTTTTCCTTTTATAAGAGACAGGAGATTGATGTTACCAATATGGATGATATGTTCATATATAGCTAGAGGGCGATCACGCCACCGTAAAGCTTAAGAAACGACAAACTTGCATCACTATCGTGTTGATTTGTTTTATTTTGTTATAGACTTGAAACTTCAAGAGCTAAATTAATAGTCGTTCAATGAGGCAAATACTGAGTTACTTCTTTGTGTGATATGTCTATGTCCCTATGATGCATTTATTGCTTTTGACAAACAAAAATTAATTCGCTTTGCTAAATTTTATCTAAAAGAATTTTGCTTTGATGGTAGCTTTGAAGGTTTGAAAGGAATTCCAACTCTTGCAAAACGAATGGTTGAGACAAGAAAAGACAAGGTATATATATCCGTTGGTGTATTTGCTTATGATGTTGGGGTTGCTCTTGCCAGTTGCAACTGCAAAAGTGGAGAGGACATTTTTTGGTATAAATGTTGTAAATAATGAATTGCGTAATCGTATGGGAGATCAATTTATGAATGATAGCTTGGTTGTAAAGAATGAATTGCGTAATTGTATGGAAAATCAATTTATGAATGATAACTTGGTTGTATATATAGAAAGAGATATATTTAATGGCATAGATAACAAAGTTATCATGCATCGTTTTCAAAATATGAAAACGGGTTGAGGATAATTGTAATCATATTTAATAAAAAATATTATTAATCGATTTTTTGGTTCTTTTTATTTGAGATTATATATGTGTGTACTGTGTGCAATATATATTTGTCTATATATATATATTTTTTTGGTAAATAATATATATTTGTCATCTTAGTTAATATATCTATACTATTATTTAATGTATAAAGAGTTTCACTTTTTACTATTTATTTATTATTTATTAATTGATATAAAAAGAATAGGTATTTTTTATGGACAATTATCACAATATAACCAGTCCGGCCTAATTATGATTATGTCAATATAAGGAGATGACACATGTCATCATCCTATTAATCCAAGAAGCCTATAAATAGAAACATGGAAAAAAAAAAGGAAGGAGTACAGACATTGAGAATTCTAGAAATCCAGAATTTTAGAATAAAATATAAAAACTTTGCAAAACAGTTTTAGTATTTATTTATTTATATAAAAAAATATTTATTAATTGATACAAAAAATGTTTTTATCTATACAATTATTAAATTTGCAAAGAATTTCAGTATTTAAGTATTTATTCAATTATTAAAAAAAAATTTATTAATTGATGATATGAAAAACGTTTTTATTAAAAAAAAAAAAAAAAAAACTCTATAAAATTAAAATCTAACTAATAAAATTTAAATTAACCTACTTGTCTATTTCTAATTATGATTTTTTTAATAAAAGAGAATCTAATTAGAAAAGAATTATTAAAATAAAAAATATCTATTAATTGATATAAAAAATAAAATAATTTTTCTAAAACTCTCCCACAAATTTTCTTTTATTATGAGTTTCTTAATAAAATTAAATCTAATTAGACAAGGATATATTTAGAGAAAATAAAATAATTTCTATAAAACTTTATCACAAATTATCTATTTTATTTTCAATAAAACTCTATTACAGTAGACAAAGATATATTTTAAGAGTTTCTATAACAGTCTAACTCAAATTACCAATTTATCTATTTATTATGAGTTTTTTTTAATAAAAGGAAATCTAATTAGACAAGTATTATTAATATAAAAAATTATTTATTAATTGATATAAAAAGAGATTTTAAAAGAGTTTCTATGAAACTTTAAGACAAATTAGCTATTTATCTATTTATTATGAGTTTTTTTTAATAAAATGAAATCTATTTATTATGATTTTTTTAAATAAAAAATATTTATTAAAATAAAAAATATTTATTAATTGATATATAAAATAAAATAAATTTTCTAAAACTCTTTCACAAATTAGCTTTTATTATGAGTTTCTTAATAAAATTAAATCTAATTAGACAAAGAGTTTCTATAAAAGTCTAACACAAATTACCTATTTATCTATTTATTATGAGTTTTTTTAATAAAAGGAAATCTAATTAGACAAATATTATTAATATAAAAATTATTTATTAATTGATATAAAAAGAAGTTTTAAAAGAGTTTCTATAAAACTTTAATACAAATTACCTATTTATCTATTTATTATGAGCTTTTTAATAAGAAAATATATTTATCTATTTATTATGAGTTTTTTTTTTTTTTTTTAATAAAAAGTACTTATTAATTGATACAGATATAATTCAATGTTTTATTTAACAAATTGTTAAAAAATTCAAAAAAAAAAAAAAAACAAAAACAAAAAAGAAAAATTACAAATATAGATACTTTAGGATATGATATGTTATTTTTTAAAAAAAATTCGGCACTAAATATGAATGTATATATATCATTTCGCATTTTATCATTGAAAAGGTATTAGGAAGATGATGAAATAAATTTTGTTGTATTAATAGTTTTTATAAAAATAGTTTCTATAAAACTCTAAAAATTACCTAATAAAATCATCACAATAAAAATATTTATTAATTGATATAAAAAGAATAATTATTTTTTATGGATAATTATTACAATATAATCGACCAGCCAAGGAGGAATGGGTACAGAAATTGAGAATTCTATAAATCCAGAATTTCAGAGTAAAATACAGAAACTCTGCCAAAGAGTTTCAATATTTATTTATTTATATAAAAAAATATTTATTAACTGATGATATAAAAAAAGATTTTATCTATACAATTATTAAATGTGCAAAGAGTTTCACTATTTAAATATTTATTTATTTATATAAAAAAATATTTATTAATTAATATGAAAAGAGTTTTTATAAATAAATAAAAAAAAACTCTATAAAATTCTAAATCTATCTAATAAAATTTAAATTAACCTGTTCATCTGTTTATTATTATGAATTTTTTAATAAAAAAAATCTAATTAGACAATAATTAGTAATATATAAAATATTTATTAATTAATATATAAAATAAAATAATTTTCTAAAACTCTACCACAAATTAGCTTTTATTATGAATTTCTTAATGAAATTAAATTTAAGTAGACAAAGATATATATAAAGAAAATAAAATAATTTCTATGAAACTCTATTGCAAATTACTTATTTTATTTTTAATAAAACTCTATTAGAATAAACAAAGATATATTTAAAGAGTTTCTATAAAACACTACC